CAGCAGCAGCAGCAGCAGCAGCAACCATCAACACTTTATGAGGAAAATAATTTTATAATCAAAATTTTAAACTCAGGGAGGGCTTCCCACAGAACAATCAGGACACAACATCAATGATATACCCTACTACATTGCAATACAAGATTGAAAGCGAGGAGATGTATATGTATCAAGATGCAGTTCATCAACGGCACAATAAACCCTGCTGATGAACTCACAAAAACTCTCAGTTGGATACTTCGCAATCAACATGCATGAGGACTCTTTGGTCACTTTGATCCTACTCCATCCAAATGATATCCTCCTCCCTCATCTTTTCTGCTAGTATAATCTGCTTGCTTCACAGATCACAGATCACAGATCACAGATCACAGATCACAGATCACAGATCACAGATCACAGATCACAGATCACAGTAGGGTGGCTGCTGTCTGTACGAGGATATCATATCAAATGTATGATTCATATCTATCATAAGAAATACCTATTATAAATAACGATGATTCATACACACTCTACATTCACAACTCATTTGATCCCATGGATCCTCACAATTGACTTGAGTCATTTGATTCAAACACATCACTCCTCCATTTTCATTTTCATCAATTTTAGACTTCATAGTTCATTGATTCTCAATAAGAGAATTGACTCACTTTTCTTCTACTAGCACTTGATTTACATAACTAGATGGTCTACTTTTTGGAAGAAAGACAGACAAAAAATAGACCATCTAGTCTTAATTTTTAGACTTTCTGTCAACGCTCCATCCACGGCCTTACAGAAAGTCTAAATCTAGACCAGAATTCAAGAATCAAAATCCGTTGTAGGACTCAACTGAAAAGACCCGCCAAATTTAAGACTGAAAGAATTTACTAAAAAATTAGAAGGCTGTTGAGATTCTGGATTCCTTAAGAGTCGTAGTAGAAGAGCGCCAAAAAATCTGTTGGTTGGGGGCCTGTTTTTAATGATTCCCGTTAAACTAAAAAGTCTAAACGGTCTACTTTAGACTTTTAGACCATCTAGACTAACGGGAATCGCCCATTATTGTGACAACAAGTCATTCTACTAGCAATAACCTAGTTTTTGCACCGTAGTAAGTTTTTTTGGCCGCCGCCCTTCAAAAAAAAAACGAAGGCGGCCGCAACCAATTTTGGTTCCCCCCCCCCCCCCCCCAAATCGATTCGGATTTCTGTGTGACCATTCATGTTTCGACGCATTTTTTAATCTTCTTCAGATGCCATGGCGTACCGGTACCAATACGCACTCCGAGCTACGAGAACGGTTGACACTTCTATCGACACGTTGGTGCTTCAGACGAGAAAAGATTTGGAATTTTGACATGCAACAACCATCACTCCATTATTATGATTCGTCCCTCTGCGAAAAAGTTACGGAAAACAGCAATGGTCTACGGAAAACCACGTGAAATACAGATTATTCCCTCGGTCCTTCCAGGTGACTTTGGCAACCTCGGTGCCGACGTCAAAAGAATGGAGGATGCTGGATGTCATCGGATTCAGTTTGATGTGATGGATGGGAACTTTGTCCCAAACGTGACGTTTGGACCCGATACCATAAAGCATTGCCGAAAGTACACGAATTTGCCGTTCGAAACCCAGCTGATGGTGAGCGAAAAATGCACCGATGCTATGCTCGACCAGTTTGTCGAAGTCAGCAAGGGGCCGAACGGGGAGCCAGGTGTTGTGATTGTTCACGTCGAGGCTTGCACCCACTTGCATCGTACCCTATCCAAGATCCGTGCAGCGGGTGGTTCGCCCTCCGTAGCGATGAATCCTCACACTCCCCCCGAAATGGTGGAAAATGTTTTAGATTTGGTTGATCATGTGCTAGTGATGACGGTTAACCCAGGCTTCGGAGGACAAAAATTTATCCCAACCATGATTCCTAAAATTGAGAAACTTCGAAAGTGGATCGTCGATCGCAATTTGGACGTAGACATCGAAGTCGACGGTGGAATTAAGGCCACAAAGGAAACTATTGGGATCTGTGCTGCTGCTGGTGCAAATTGTTTCATTGCTGGATCTGGACTTTTCGCTTTTGAAGATATGTCTGAGGGAGTCCAGAAACTTACTGCTTTGGCTAAGGAGGCACAGGAGTCGTCGTGAAGGGTTGCCATTTATTCTCAACAGTGACCGAAGCACGCAGTATGGGTATTCCAAAATGTTGGATTTCTTGTTTCTATTTTCAAAACACCGATATTTTTGCGATAAGAAGAAAGCTAAGCTATAGTATCTTGAAAAATCATGGGAACGACAGAAACGGTACAACAATGTTTAAATATTTGATAATAACATTTATCTAAAATCCGTAATATGTTGAAATCTGTGATGTATGAAGTATGCAGTATGTTGGTGGAAAAGTCACATCATCTTTGTAGCTCATGCACTTCAAGTGGCTTGTCAACGAAGGACCAAAGATAAGCAGCAGAAAATAACGAGATCATAGCTCTACTGTAGACTATTAGATAGTTCAAATTGAAACACGAGAGTAAAGATGATGATAAACATTCACTATGGATTAACGAAATCAGCCATGTCGTCCCTTCCTACAGATTTGTATATTTCTGCGAGTTTTGGACGAATTTCGCTCCAATTTGAACCAGTCAACGATGTAATATCAAGCAGGTAGTTGGCGTCATCAAGAGCCTTTTGTTCGGGCGTCATATCGGCATTTCCTGCTCTGGGATCTTCGTTCTCGTGGTCTCTCATTTTTTCATACATGATTTGTAACTTCGCGAAAATTTCTTCATCGGAGTCAGTCTCTTCTGCAAGTTGCCCGTAGATTCCCACATCCCGGAAATCTTTGGCGCTTAGTCCGACACTAGACAAAGGCATTCGGAGACACATTCGAGCAGCATCTCTCGTCTCCTCAGAACGATTTGGAAATGTGTTCAATAGCGACGAATAAAACAAAAATGTCGAGGCGAACCCAGAAATTTTACCGTTGGCCGCCTCAGCAGCGATAAGAGAGGATGATTCGTCCCCCCTCTCGGCATGACCTGAAAAACAGAAAAAAGAAAGTAAGAAAATGTATAGTTTTGCGTTGAGCAACGATGGCTGCTGCTGTGTTCATTGACGAAAGAAAGTCGGGAATGTTATTGATAATAGTTCGTACCTATTGCCAATTTACTGTAGATGTCTGGGAATGGTCCGACTCTTAGGAGGACAAATTTGTCCACCCCATATCTAAATCGGTTTGACAAGACAGAAGCGCAACAAAAATAATTGAAGGGATGAGATTTTAGTAATTCTGGAACCTCGTAGCTAGTTTTCCGCCATCAATAGCAATCACCATTGACATGATTTCCGTATCTTCAAGGCATCACAGCTGAAAAATACCTACCCCAGTTTTTCAACCGATCCCTGCTCGTAGGGCCGATCCAGACCCTCGTCTTGGATAAATCCCTTACCGAGGTCTTCGTTGTATAGTTCAAGAAGTTCCTTTCGCTCATCCCCAAAATCTACCTCGCAGGCGATGCGCCTCATCAAATGCTCGCTGTTCAGAGAGATTAATCTCATCCCAGGTCCTCCAATTTCCGCTTCCACAATCGGCCACGGTGCCTTCGAGGAATTTTCGTAGGAAGCATCTTCCGCATAAGCACGTCGCAGTCCACAGATGAAATTTCCTGTTGATTTCGATTTTGCCAAGGGGTAAAGGTGGGGGTGAAGGTTAGAGAATTCATTTGCCCCCATGATATTAGCAATAAGTTCCGGTGTTTCTTCGGCATCGGCGTCAGTGGTGACATAAACGGGTTCCAAATCATCGGGCAACGAACATCCCACAGAACCTGGGGCACCGTKGGACGAGAGCATGCTTTGCAACGTTGCGATTCGAGAAATTCCCGATTTTACATCGGCTTCAATACCGTTGGACACGGAAAACAATCGAGTTGTCGCAGTTGCCATGCGATGTCCTTTTCCTGCCAATTCTCGTGAAACAAAGGCCATCGAGGTTCGACACAGCCAGGCAGCCGCCAACATTCGGGTCATTCTCATTCTATCCAAGTATTCCGTTTCGGTTTGCCTGAAATATGTATTGCGGCCAGTAAGCAGTCTAAAAGCATACGTTTTTGCACGAACTTGGTATGAAAATGTGATGTAAAGCTGTTATTTCTCACAACGGAGACGATGAAAACCACACTGGCACTGTAATGACGGTAAATAGCAGTACCAAGTAATGTCGAATAAGGATAACGACCTCACTGGAAGGAAAGGTGGTTATGAGTACGGTACGTACGGTACCGTACTGTTCTTATCTTAATCTTAAGTTCCAATCATGGTCATGAAGAGAAACGAGAAACAATAGTGACGTCACAGTCGTGCTTGTATTTTAGTCACGAATTATTTGGGAGCGATTCATTCGTTTTTGGAATTTTTGAGGAAAAGTGCGACTCGCCCCGCACGCATACGTTCGTTCAGTACCGTACTGTACTGAGAACACAGTGTGTGTTGATGTTTGAGAGAGGTCAAACCGTCGAAGCTATCTTAGCGCTGGTCACCTGTAGTTTAGGGAACCCCAGGAGGAACATCGATGAGAATTAGATTGCTGAGGCTTTGTGCAGAACATAGTTTGCAGAATGAAATATTCTTTCGTTGGATTCTTACTAGCCTTTCCAAGATATCGAGGCAAGTTGAACTCGACAACTTCCTTGGTCGCCGGGTTCTCACCTTCCCCTGTTACCAGAAGGAACTACAGAAATGCCATTGGGTATCTGACTGGTTGCCGTTCGTATGTGGAAAAAACTGCCAGAAGCAGAAGATCTTCTCTTTCGGCACAAAGTGGTCGCGATTCAAGAGATAACTACGGTAGTAACCCTGATTCTATAGAAAACAAGGCAGGTACAAACAACAACACAAAGAACTGTAATTGGCTTGTGGTGGGAGATGGAGATCTATCGTACAGTGCATCCATTGCAGAATATCTAGCCAACAAAGGCATTCGACTCTTTGCAACCGTATTGGAAGAGGAAGAAGTTCACGATTCGGTCTACAAACGGTCCTCGCAAAACAAAGCAGCCATACTGTCTTACCACAACCTGCACGATAGCCTCGTACGCTCGGATACTACGGGAGGCGATGATACGGCAGCAACAAACTTGCAATCGCAACACATAGTTTTATTTGGCGTCGACGCTACCCATCTGATAGACTATTTTCCAAGGACCAAATTCAGCACCATCGTATTCAATTTTCCTCACTGGAGGGGTAAGACGAATGCAAAACGCAATCGAATACTTCTAGACAGTTTCATGGGTAGTGCCGCTGAAGTACTCGCCGAAGAGGGCAAGATAATCATTTCACTCTGTGAAGGACAGGGTGGCTTTCCTGCATCAACCGGTACGTTAATACATGGCATTTCTGATGGTGCATCGTGAATGTGTGCATGAGTGATCTTGTGGTTTGGGTGTCAATGTTACGACACTTATAGATTGCATCTATTTCTTTGTCCCGCTCGACTGTGCCTCATGAACACTTCTTCGATATTCCTCCCTAAATTCTTGTTATCGATATAACCATTGGGCTTCCCATTATCTGCCTTTATCAAGCCGAGGAATGGAAACGGAGCTGGCTTGTACCTCAATACGCAGCAGGACATGGATTGCTGCTGCACAAGTTGAAGCAGTACGACCCGATGTATCAACAGACTTCTCACAGAGGCAAGGATCGACCCTGGATCAAGGATGGCACGGACCAACGATACATATTTGGGTTTCCAAATGAGGGATGCATAGACGAAGATTTACAGATAAGCTGTCGTCACGAGCTTAGAGTTGTGTTACCAAAAGATTTTGTAGAAGGCTCCGCAGTTGGTCGACAAGAGATCATAGAAGGCGACGCAGTTTTTCAACTAACCAAAGGATTTGTCCCAGATGGAATTCGAATGGAAGTAGTGACCCGCGAAATATTGTATCCTTATTTCTTTGACAATGAAGAGGTCACTCTTGCTATTTTTCTTCTAAATTATAGTGGGGAAAAGGCCCCACTTACCAGAGAATCTGCCGATACCATTCGATCTAAAGTAGAAGCCTCTGTGCAACAAGATTGGAATCTGAAAGTGGCCAAAAGCGGGCGGCTGGTTTCTCGTCCTTATCCTACGCACTTGCTACCAGCTCTAATACGGGAATCGAGTGAAAGGAACTTAACACTGACCAATTCAAGTCCTTAGACGTTATCACAACCATGTTTGAACTATACTAGTCTTTTATTATGCAACAAATGTAACTCAAACTTGAATATAATAGAGCTGTTCACTTCGTATTTTAAGTCCATTACCAGGCTACACTAACGATAGGCTAGTTCTGAAGTATTAGGTTTTATTTATTCTAATTTTTGAAACTGCCAATCCTGGAAGCTTCTAATTGCTCGAATTCTTCTTCGCCAAAGTAACCTCTCAGCTTTTCTGGTTGTGGAGCTCCTATTTTGCATTTCCCCTCCAGTATACACACCTTATCCACCGTGTCTGGATCCATGCATTTGGATATCATGTTCCATACGGATAAAAATGCCGAGGGTACAGGGTATACGAGCGCTTTGTGCAATCGTTCGGGGAAGAGAGGTAACAATATTGCTAAGCTACTTTTCATGAATGGTATCAGTTGCAAAACATGATTGTTTGGCCAACCCTTTCCAGCCCTCACATCCAGGCATAAGGTGACCTTCTCAAATTCTTTCCTCTCGAAGGCACGGTCAAAGTAAATTGCTATCGCCAAAGTATACGTTGAACCTTTCGCCAACTTGAGGTCCATTAGGGCAGGACGGACACAAAAACATCGACGGCCATTGATGTCCATGAAATCTGAGTTTCTATCGTTCGGAGGCATCTGCACAATTCTGGGCAACACAATGTTCTCTACCTCACCGCACATTTTCATGGCTGTGAGACAAGATTCTACCCATTGGTCGTAGTCACGATCCCTTGTCGGATAAATCTTGATTCCATTCACCCTTTTCGTTTCAACATGTTGATTGTTCCATCGAAGGTAATGATTCAACCTATTTGTTGCGACTTTTACATTCCTCTCGCAGGCAAGCAAAAATCTTCGCTGCTCAGCGGAAGTTGATCCTTTATGTAAAGAAGGTTCGATTTCTAGCCTTGACAGTGCCTTATCTAAACTGTATTTCATCTTTTCCGATTCGATTGATGATTGGGACGAGGATGATATTGACGACGACCTCTCGGCGATTCGCAATTTGGTGAAGGGAGAAGATTCATTTGATTTCGTGGCTGAGATCAAATCGACCGCCCCATGCTTTTGATTCGATTTTGAAATGTGCATCTGAGAAGTTTTGGAATTCGCAGGTCTGGAATCTTCATCTTTCGTCGCCCTGTAGTAGCTATAGACTACGTAGAACGCGAATAGTGCAAAGGCATGGGTATGGAATTTGAGGAAATCGAATGCATGATTAAAACAATAATTGCTGTAGTAATTCATACAGCTATTGGTCTCGTGATTACTGTTCATGAGGGAGTTGTTCTCTTGGACTGATATCAAGTCTGCTCAATTTTCATCAGTATTTTTTGTCATCTTTTAATCAAAATGAACACTAGAGATGATGAGGATGATGATTGTTGATGATGATACCGGGAGAATGGAGAACAACATCAAACATACCAGTACGTACTACTGCGGATGTCCTGTCATTTCCCTACAAGTACGTTAATCTACTGTACCGTTTTACGTGGAAGAAATGGTGTCAAAAATAACAGATGTGTACCGTACAGCGTCCGATATTTCGTATTTTTAAGAAGAGGAAGCCGTTACAAGAATGTGCTGTACAACGAAAATCATCGCTCCTTCGCACTTGATTTCAGATTCCATCATGCGTACTTGCAAAGGGTACTCGTACTAGTACTTTATTTATGCCTCAAGTCTTCATTGGTCATTTTTTGCTTCTACGTATACCGTACGAGTTCAATCGGAGTAAAATTCGTTAACCGTAAAAATCCCTACCGCGCCCTACAGGGCAAAAAGGCATTCTACTCAAAAACCAAAATTATTACGTACTACAAAGTATTTCGTACTATCGGTAGTAGTAGTAGTACTAACATCGTGGTTAATTTTGAAGCCAAATATTTAGTGCTGATCCTACGTAGATATACTACTAGTATTCCGTCACTCTTTCGATCCCAGTTCATAGTAGTACAATTACCTAAAGGTTGGTGTCATTGGGAAGCCAAAGGATGCTCTAGAGGCTTCGAACTAGTCCGTCAAAGTTATACAGTTAAAGTGATCACTTTTTTTGAGTCTCTCCTTCTTCAAGGACTACTACTACTACAACTACTACTACTACTACTACTAGTAGTAGTAGTAGTAGTAGTAGTAGTAGTAGTAGTACCTCCTCCATCCATTTGGCTGACTTTCTCGTCAGCATTCTTCTTTACACATCAAACATAAAATCCATTAAGAATGTTGATAATTTGACAATCTTGGTACCCATTTTAGCTTGACAGATTTGAATGTGCACATGGATCCACTTGTTTTTGACTTTTCAACATCCTCTATGTTTCATTGATCATGACAGGTCTACCAACATACAATTTAAGCATTGGATCTACCCGTGTAGAAGATTTGTTTGGACCTGCAACAATGTTGGGCACCGATGTGGTAGTTAGCAAGCAGTATTTCTGAAATTCTGACATGTCTCTATATTTTCTTTCTTGTCTATCTACAGTTTTAGGTTTCAGGCCTTGATTAGTAGTACAATGGTTTGATCTGGTAATTTCTTCTTTAGGGATTCTTTTGAATGCGTTTTGAGAAAATCAGAAAATATCATGCCATCATTGTTTATTGCACATTTGCTGCAATGTAGGGGGTTAACAAGTATTGAAAGATATACAGCACTGTATATCTGAACTTCAAAAATGTACATGTGGTTTGGCTGGAACCAAGTGGCTGAGCCTATACCACTATAACAAGAAGACTCTACTATTTGGTGTTGAAGAAAATAGTATATTCAGAATCCTCACATTAAATTATACTAGTAGTATTTTTGATTAAGTTATGACTGCTGAAAAGTTGAATAGTTTTACTAGTATTATACATACAAAATATCACAATGAAAAAAGTTTATGGCAATTTTTTTCTTATTGTTGGTACCACAGATGGAATATGAATTTTGATGTGCTGCTGCACTCCCCTCTAAGTTATGACCCCTAGTACACAATGTAAGGTTGAACCAAAAAGTAGTGGTGAAAACACCATTGTGTTATTGCATCATATCTAATTACAATACAATGAGTACTACAGTAATAGTAGTTGGTACTTCAAGAACTGGTATTTTAAAATTCATAGTATTGTATTGAATTGGCAGCCAGATCTACAATCCAGTCTTAGATTTCAGGCCATCTTTTTCCCGTGTAAAATATGTCAAGAAGCATGCCAAGAGACATCACAAAATCTTGTCCAACTACACCATTTTTTCTCTGGAATTTTTGTCTTGATGGCAATTGACGTGTCTGAAATACATTCTTGATGAACATATTTACCTTAATCAATACCTGCTACTACTATCCAATACTGCACCAATACTACACCAATACTGCATTCCTTGACTTGATGCCTCACCTTCTTTGTTTTTGCCTTCTTCCTGTTTAATTTTGCCCTCTGCTTTGGGTGGGGATAACCAAAGAGAGGTCTGATGCATTGTGGGGGAACTGAGTTTGGGGAGCTGACTGAGTATCAATAGTATACATCCTTCTGGAGATCTTGGTCAACAACAAGGAAGTCTGGTGTTTCAGCTTGCTTGTTTTGCTGCTGGTGCTTGCTTTTTGTGCTATCCTGAATTGTTAGTTTGCATTGTCTGCCTCACAGGATGTATTGTTCACCATCAATTTAGAGAGAAGGAAATGTGATCAATGCATTGTGTTCTGAGTACTAGTAGGAATAAATCCAGCACAGTTCCTTCTGATAAACCAGAGATAGAACAAAGGAATCTACATTGCCAAACTGTGAGTTCTCACAATTAGTGGCCTAATTATGTGAGCTAATAATAGCAGTTGAGGTAAGGAGTGCCTGTTGTGGGACTAAAATGTATTGAATCAAAGTAGTCATTACATGGTACTAAAAAGTTGGCCCATTGTCTACGCACTGTGTTATTTAACTGTATAACTGTTTTTGGTCTTGAACTGACAGTTTGAGTCCTAAATTGGTCTCAAATGGTTGCTCAACAGAGATAAGCATACCATAGTGTTCCTAATAAAACAGGATCATGGTCATGTGGGGGAGTTGTGGGGTCCTAATAGTGGAAGATATCAATATTTGTGTACAAATATCAGATTCAAAATCCACACGCCAATGCTATACAATAAGCCAGGATACATTATCTATCTATTGTACAATATTGTGGCATCTTATGTTGTGTAACAGCTTTTTTATGGTAGGTTTTCCACACAGCTCTAGGCAAAGAACAAAGCAATATTTAACACCAAACCTTGTTCCTAGCTGTTGAAAAAGCTATTTTAGTCAATAAGATTTCTAATTTTGCTTACTTTTTGATGAGAATTCAGATCTATAGAAATGAAAAATGTAGTACAAACACTAGTACCAAATATAAATCCATTCCAAAGAACAGATTTCTCTTCAATAAAACACTCACTACTGGGTTCTCACTGAGGCACTTCTTATTGTTAGTGACTCTCCCCTCTTCAGGCATCCCTTGTACAAGTCATGTTAGGGCAACCTGTTGCTGTCTAGCTCTCCCCCTTCCTAGTAATGCAGTGTCCCTAATTGTAGTATCTCTTCAGTTTTTTTCAGCTTGGTCTCATCATCAGATTCTATCCAGGAAGGCTCTAGAGGAGTGAGATTCCTCACTTGTATCCACATACCAAAGGCCTTCTCCTTCTTCTGTTCCTTCCACTGGTATGATGGGAAGACACCAGGCATGTTCTTCCTTGTGTCAACCTGCTAACCTTTGCATTCATCTGGTGAGACACTGCTCTAGGTTTCTTTTTTGCTGCTTCTAGGTCTTTGATCAGCACTTGTTGTCTCTTAATGTGTTCACCATTAATGAAGCAGTTGTCAATGTTTAGTGTATCACCATTGGTCCTAATAAAATGCTCGCTAGAGTACTTAACATTGGCAATCACATCTTGCTGTTCTATGGTACCAACCTTTGTTACTGATAATATACCAGATGCTGACAGTCTTGGGGTATATCAGTTCTCCCAATTTAACCCAGTGTTGTTGATTACTTTGATTGCTGCAGTGTTCAATTGTCCAATTCAAGGAGCTTTGTTGCAGTCTTCAGATCAGCATCACAATCAATACTACCATCTGGTAGCATAATGAGTTCATGTCTAATTTTCTGGTCTATAAGGCAATGGTGTGCAAATTGTGTAATCCCTAATTTGGCCAACACTGCCTTAGTATTTTCAGCCACAAAGGCTTGTCAACTGTGTTGCTATATCCCTTCTATCTCCATCCTCTTTCTTCTTTTTCTTCTTCAGTTTAGCATCAGTATCATCCTCTACAAGCCTTTTCTTCTTGTTGGTGTCAGAAAAGGGAGCAGGACTAGGCCCAAAAACAACAGCAGCTGAAGAAGTGGTGATGCTGGATGTATTTGTTGGTTGCAATTGACCAACAATATACTCATAAGGTGCTGACTTCATTTAGCTTTGGCAACTTTGCACTCTTCTCTGAAGTGTAGTGTTACTGGGCTCCACAACTGAAAATTTAGCAACTGTCAGAATCTCTTTTACAGAGCCAGGAATCCCCTCTTCCTTGGAGGTGAATAGGTACTTTGCAGCAAATAGAGTTCTTGGACTGGGAGGAAGTGTACATCAATTTTGAGAGCATCCAATGGCTGACATCACACAATGCAAAACACAGTGGGCTGTAGCTCCTGTTGTTAGAACGATCTTCTAAACGACATGGTCAATCAATCCAAAACTTCTGGATCCCCTTCCTCTTCAATTAAGGAATAGAACATGTATACAGATTGCACTAGATAATATTGATAAGAGTGTTTGCCAGGAGGGTAATAGGTCCCTATGATGCTGAGGAGGTTGATTAAATGAGAGTTTTTTGCATTTTTCATGCACAGAGTAATCAAGAAACCCAAAAAGGTTCCCTTGCAAAAACCCCAAGCAATATACACATCTCCAGATAGAGGGAGAAAAATCCTATCCAACTATCAGATTCTTAAATTCTTATTGGTCCTTTGCTAGCAGTAGCAAGCAAGCAAAGCTTGCTGCTGATTACTTGAACAGCTCGCAAAATTATGACTCCTAACTATTTCGAAAATAAAGGCGATGAGAGGCACCCCAACCTCGTACTTGTACAAACTAATACTGCTGTTTCCTTGCGTAAAAAGTCAGTGTCTTGATTGGTGAGCATATTGATAGTATGCTCAGGATATCAAAAATGAATGTTCTCAAGGTGGACAAAATGACTGCAGTTTGAATAAGTAATACAGAAATCGGGCGTGGGCTTGTTTATGATTCTTGACAGTTAGTATATATACTACGTAAATTAGGTCCTGCAAGCTCGTCAAATAATACGCATCATGTATGATTTAAAAATTATTCCAGGAATCCGAAAAGACCTTTCTCTTCGGTCGTCGGGTTGACGGTCTCTTCCAATTGCTCCACCATCAGCCTCCAAGGCACAGTTCCCACTCCGCGTCGAATGATATTTCCATTATTGGCCACAACAATTGCAATTCCTTCCGTCTTGACATTTTCCCCACTTTGTTCGACTGCATCGCTGATTTCCTGTTGGATATAATCTTCCCAGTCCTCGCCATTAGCTTTTGCGATGTATGGCTGCGTTTCGTACGATGGGCGATCACCGAATCCACCACTTGGTCGTGCGGCCGAATCGTCGGCGTCCGTTTCGTAAGGAACGACCAAGACATTGCTCAAGGCAAAATCCATTTTCAGTAGGTTGGCACCGATCAATGCGTCCTTGCAAACTTTCCTCGGACCAGCGACAATGATCATGTGTTGTTTGGCACCCTTCTGTAGATCTGCAACTCTAGCCGTTTGGGTACTGCCATCGGCTCCAACGGTGATTTCCAAAGGAAGTGATTGCAAAGTGGCTTCACGTCCTTTCATTGCTTTGCTTACAGCCTTCATTTCTTTTTTGCGGGAAATTTTTTCGTCAACCTTCGTCTGCAACTCTTCCTGTTTCCCCAGATCGTACTTGGCCAGGAAGGCCATGAGAACCACAACTCCGAAATCGATCCCAAGATTGACAAGCTATTAATTTAAAGATTTAAAATAGAAACGATACAAATAATTTCCATGCCGGTTAGAAGTGGCACAGATATAAACGTTGGCCTAAGCCATACGTTTATGACGGTGACAACGTCATAGCCAATCTATCCGTTCGGTGGGAATAGTCCAAAATCAACAATGCTTGACACACAGCATACTTCTTAGCGTCATCGCATCTGGTCGTTTTGTATCGCACTACAATTTTTAGATCGTACCTCAACTTGTAGATTAAAGTCTGGGCTGTTGCTATTGGCAATGGCCTCCGATCCGTTTAGCAGTCCTCCGACAAAAGCGCCCGATCCGAACGAACCATAGAGGAACAAACGAAGGGTTCTCCAGGGAGCAATCGATTCGGTCACCAATTTGTTCCTCATGGATTCGTCGAGGCCACCTTTCTTCTTGTCGCTGAGCAGTGCTGTGCGGGATGACAACGATTGCGGGGAATTTGCATCACTGACGCTCACCAAACCGTCTCTTCCGTGGGAGCTGCTCTTCCGGCTGCCAATTGCATTGGGTGCCGTTTGGGCGGGGACGAAAGCGCTTGCGCCGCCAATTGCAGACAATACGCCGACAGAAAATAGTAGTTGTTTTTTCATGTTTCTGGGGGGATTCGTGATTTGTTCCACTTCTTATCTGACGAAAAGATAAACAGATCCGTTGTGATGTAGTTCTAAGAACGATGGTTTCGGAGTCAATCATCGGATGCGTTACCGAAGCCACCGCTGAGGTACTGTTAGCAGGTGTAGAAGTAGAGTACCAGTACGAAGTAAGTACTGGGGTTGGGGTTGGGGTCCAACCCGAACAGACCAACATTCTGATGAGAGATCTTGAAGTGGTAATGACATGAGATTTTGATCGTATCATTCCAAAACGTGAATGAATCAGTCATGGGCGACTTACGTAACCACCACATCATTTCCAAGTCACGAATATTGAATCACGAATACGAATACGAACTAATCATGGAAGTCGAAAAGAAAGAAAATACTAGAATAGTTTTTTTCGAATGTGTAGTGAAAACCATAGGCCTTTTTCAAAAATACGACTACTCGTACTCGTACTCGTTCGTACTCACGTACGAGTATTCGTTCTGAACCGAGAATTTGGACTTCCAGTCTCTACCATCGAGATAATCAGATAATCATTACGTTCAGTGAAATAGAGATTGATCTGTTTTCGGTTCCTTCGAAACTAAGTCTTTTGGAAAACAAAACGGCGGTCAAAACAATCCAACCCGAACGATCTCATTATGACAGGTACACCGAATACCTCGACAAGCCCCGGAACAGTCGATAGCGAAAGCTCGACAACGGAAAGGAAGGGAGTGTGGCTTTTTCGGTGCACAATGATCCTTCTGTTTCTCGATGTGTTGCTTTCTGTCTTGTTTATGTCTCCGATCATACCCTGGGTTCGTTATCAAGAAGAGAGCGGATCTTCAATCTCACCAAACAAACATTCCTATGCCTTTTCTGAGTCCCTCCTGGATTTACTTGCGTTGTCCGGATGCCGAGCCGTAGCCGCATTGTCTGCCTTTGCGGTTTCCTATTTGAGAGGCAATGTGCGGGAAAAATACTCCTTCGATGTTCTCCACCCCAATGGCAAGAAGAAGACTAGAGACGAACTCGAGGAAGAAGCGCTACAACAATCCTTTGGAAGTTGGCTCTCCTGCTATGTGAATCGTGCCGCCTTTCCATCTGAATTATTTTGCCTGGCAACTACCCTCGTGGCGGTTGGAAAGTGCCTTGTTCGACTCAACATTGAAATTGGGGTTCTGAGAGATGCGGAGCCTATCCATCCAATTTTCTGGCTTGCCTTTCTCTTCTCGGCGGCTGTTTCTGTAACAGAAATGGTCTACGTGGATGCCGTCTGCGTGTGTCTTGGAAAATGGGGTTCAACTGCCGAAAAACCACTTTTGCTCAGACACATCTCCTCCCATCTTAGCCTACCACTACTGGCAAATGACAGTCTGGAAGGACAGGAGGAAAGTGAAAATGGTAGAAACGAAGAGGATCAACCCGAAAGTGCTGCCATTGACGAAAATGCCGTTGGGGATAGCGGTATAGGAGGTGATGCGGACTACAAAGCATCGTGGTCAGACCTTTTGAAATTATGCGCTCCCGATGCATTCTTGATATCGATTGCTTTCGTATTCCTGCTATTCGCGGCTATGATGCAAATCTACATACCAAAATACACCGGCGCCTGTTTGGATGCTCTCGAGCAAGCCTATAGCAGCAATGACGACGGAAGCAACGACGACAATGAAAGCATCAAGGATATTCCCGGTTTCATGTCAAACGTTAAGAAACTTTTAATTGTTTCTGTGCTAGGAGGATTCTTCTCGGGAGTAAGGGGGTCTATATTTACAATGGTTGGTGGTAGGGTGAACGTTCGTCTCCGATTGCGGTTGATGGACGCTCTTTTGACGACCGAACAAGGATTTTTCGACGTGACGAAAACTGGCGATATCACCAGTCGACTTTCTAGCGATACCACGTTAGTTGGAGACCAAGTTACGCTGAACGTCAACGTGAGTAGATGAATCTATCCATTACATCGAAACAAAAATAGTTGCATGTGCTAGAGGAAAAAAATCACAGAAGTCAAACTCATCCAACCTTACTTTTTCTTATTTTCGTAACAAAAGGTGTTTTTGAGATCATTAGTGCAGGTGATCGGGGTTCTAACATTTATGTTCATGATTTCGTGGCAGCTCTCGATGCTGGCCTTTATCAGCGTTCCAGTGATCACAATCCTTTCCAGATGGTACGGTACCTTTGTTCGCAGCATAGCCAAGGTGATGCAAACCAAACTAGCAGACGGAAATAGTGTGTCTGAAGCAGCACTTTCAAGCATGCCAACCGTTCGAGCATTCGATGCAGGCCCCACGGAATATAAGGAATTCACGACGCACATGGATAAAGTATGTGTCCAAGTAGTTTGAAGGGGAAATTTTTTTAAACCTATTGATTCGTAATCTCTCTGACCATCTCTCTCTCTCTCTTTCACACACACTCATACAGTACCTCGAAATGACCTTTAAGTCAGCGGTGGCTTACTGTGGTTATGCGACTGTTTCAACGAGTCTCCCTCAACTTGTCACGGCATTAGGTAAGCATTTTTGTTGCGTGAAGAATTGAATCGGTCTTTTAAAAAAAAACATTATAGCTCACTATTTTCATTCACCAGTCGTGTTTTATGGGGGCTTACTGGTGAGGAATGGCAGTCTCTCAAGTGGTGAGCTAGTAAGTTTCCTACTTTACTTGCAAAGTCTTAGCGATGCATTTAGTTCGATAGGGTACATCTTTTCTTCTTTGACCCAGGCAGTCGGAGCCGCCGATAAAGTGTTTGAATTGATGCATCGAGATCGAAGAGTGATACCACAAACTATGGACTCAAATAATAACAATGGTGTAACGAATCAGTCGAGTTTAGTCCAGAAAGTCCGAGTGACTGGGGTAGAGCCAAACGAATGCAAGGGAGAGGTAACTCTCCAAGATGTAGAGATGCATTATCCCGCTCGCCCCAACAGACGTGTTTTGAGAGGCATGTCGCTCACGGTTCCTCCCGGATCAATCGTTGCACTGGTTGGCCCGTCAGGAGGCGGAAAAAGCAGTATTATTTCTCTGGTACAAAACTTGTATTCGCAATCTTCAGGAAAAGTGATGCTCGACAATATAGACGTCCACGAATACTCGCCTCGATGGCTGAGTCACCACATTTCGATTGTGCAACAGGAGCCTACTCTATTTGCTCGCTCGATCAGAAGGAACATAATGTACGGGCTAGAAGGAACGGATAGAGAGCCAACGCAGGAAGAAATCGAAAGGGTAGCAATGCTCTCAAATTGTGACGATTTCATTCGTAAGGTGAGTTGGTTTTGGCTGCTGAAGTAGCAATGACAACGCAGGATGCTTGTTTTATCGTTGAAGACAAAAACTCAAATATCATTTCTTCTGAAGATGCCGATGCAATATGAGACAGAGGTTGGTGAACGAGGCGTGCAGCTAAGTGGTGGACAGAAACAAAGGTAAGTCATGCTAGTTATCAAACGAGTAGTGCATATATTCAGAAACATATTTCAGAGTCCTCATCCCGTTTTAGAATTGCCATTGCTCGAGCACTGGTGAGAAAGCCTAAAATTCTTCTCCTCGACGAAGCAACAAGCGCCCTCGACGCCGAATCGGAGCACATGGTTCAGTCGGCGATCGACCACATGATCGATACAGCTCGATCCACGGATGGTGCCGGAATGAGTGTTATGATAGTTGCACATCGCTTGAGCACCATTCGAAATGCCGACATAATTTTTGTGGTCCAGGACGGACAAGTCGTGGAGCAGGGAAACCATACCGAACTCATCCAACGCGAAGATGGAGCATATGCATCATTGGTTCGGCGTCAGATGAACGTGCAAAACAAATTAGAAAGTGGAGGAGACTGATTTTGCTCTGTAGTACTAAACTATATTGTATCGGTAATGATAATAGTAATATTAGTAATTAACATTGAAGAGCAGTACGGTGCTTCAAAATTAATATTATGGTAGGATTACAATACGGTAGGATACGTAGTATTGAGAGTGTTGTGAGCGACAGACAGACACAAGAAGACGAAGACCCGAAAGTGCCCTCTGAACTAACGAATAGAGTATTGCAAAGGAGGTACCATGGTGAGTATGAAGCTTCACCCGACACCTTAGAAACACCAAACCACATACCTTCGACGCCACAAATGGCTCCTCGCCACTTGCACAAAAAGCACCACCAACCCAACACAAAGCGCAATCCAACAGACCCCACCACACCAAAACCAGAAACGCCTGCCCCGCCTCCCCTCGAACCCCACATTTTGAGGAACTTACCTCCCTAGACACAAGTACTGACAATTTCAACCCTTTTCCTTCCACACCAATCCCAGAGGGGATGCGCCCCGCTCCCTTCTCCCCAACAGTACCAGCACTATCACGCCTTTCTACAAAAGTTACCCCAAACCCCAACATTCACTCCATAGCGCAAACCCACCTCCACAGCCTCCTATCCAAGCGCAACCTCACCGCTGCAGACCTGCAACAAATGAACATCTATGTGACTATCATAAAGTCAACAAGACCATCAACACCTCAGACCACCCCACCCACCCTAACCCTTCAACATCTCCTTGGATGGGCAGGAATCCCAGCAACACACATCACCACATTTCACACGCAAACAAACCATGCATGGGACCAAAACTGAAATATGAAAATGGCTGGGAACAGAAGGTCAAACACTTCTTCTTCACCAACCCCCTCAAACACCAGTTCCCCAAACTCCTTCACAACTTGACCCCCACTGTCACCAAACTCCAATTTGCCCCCAAACCCCAGCGTGGCCTGCTGGGAAACTGCCCTGGCATTGGCCTCATGGCATATGTGGCACACACCACCAAAGAAATCTCAGCAGTGGAACACCAATGCCTTCTTGACTCAGAAGTAACCTCCATCAGAACCACTGACGTACTGAAAGCAAAACTCAACACACCCATTGTTCAAGGAACAGTATATGAGGTCATTGGCATCATAGATAACAAGCAAATCCAGGTCCTCATGTTCCTCTTCACATGCCACTGCCCTCTAGCTGCAGAACTCTGCAAAGTCCAAGCCAACAGCGCCTACCTATGCAAAATCCCAAACTTCCAATGGGACATTTCTGCCAAGCTTCTTTGGCAACCCAAAATTGCCACCAAATCTTTTTTCGCCCACCGCACCACCAAACACGACCTCATCACCGGCAACACCCCCACACCAAACCTTGCCACCCTTGTTGCCTCTATGTCCAGTAGCATTTTCCACAAGGCCAGCACCAAACCCCCCATATTTTTCCCTTGCTCCTGCCCACAAACGCAACCCCCTACATAAAAGCACACCCAGAGCAACCACCCAAACAAACTCCAGAGCAGCACCATCTATCCTACACATCATCTGCAGCTGAAACTTGACCATCACTTGATGCCTTAGATTATCAATCAACTGCCCCTGAGTTGAAACCATATCCACTAGCTGAACAAACTCAGAGTGTGTTAATTCCCTGTCAGCTTCACTTGCTCTACCAGATCCTCTTGTCTTGGACTTCTTTGCTGCATATTCACCAGACAAGATCTAGTAGGATTCCCCACTTCATTAAGCTCATCCCAAGGAGCCTGAGTCAATATACAATGAGACAGCCCCTTCTTCCAATAAGATATTGATGTAGACCTAGCATCTTTAGGACTGGTGTCTGCATTCCCAGGATTCACTTTTCCATAGGCTTTCATACTACTGAACCATCTGTAGATATCCTTGTTTGGCTTAATTGATGGCTTCTGTTCATCAGTGAATACATGATCAAAATTCCATGAACTTGCAAAAGCAATTATAATGGTAGTTGCCAATTGCCTTGGGGAAATTGACACCTTACTCAGTTTCTGAAATGATCATCTTCTTCCTTCTTCCTGCTGTTAATTTCTTCTTTTTTGCTTGTCCACTTCCTCTTCTTCTTTGTTGCTATGTTCTTCTTGCTTCTGCTGGTGTTGTTGGTGCTTGAATCATCATCTGACAGCAGATGGTATAAATCTGCTGGATCAACATCCATCAGCAGCACCAGCTCCTCTCCTATGGTGTGCCCTCCATTATCACTGCTGCTGCCGTTGCTGCTGTTAGCAAGAATGCTGTCACTGACATTGCTTCTGCTTCATGTAGTGTTGCTGCTTGTAGCGTTCCTTGTTGTGCTTGCTCTATTCCTTGAAAGAGAGTGGTGCAAAGATGGTGTTGGAGCAGCAAGTCACCAATGGCTACTATTCACTCCTGAAGAAAGAATTACATGATATAGTAGCTAGGAGGTCTCGAGCAAGGGATATTGAGAAAGAGGTTACTACTACTAGTAGTAATAAAGGAAAGAAGAATGCTTACTCTAGATTTATTGAGCACTATTACGCCTTTACTAATGAAGCCTTTGTTCCTGAAAGACCACCTTCAGAAGGCAAGCTCAGCACTCACTTCTTACGAAAGTTTGCCACGACTTGTGCAAGACAGCGTGGTGGAAGCAGGATATTACTGAGACGATTGAATCCATCGAGTCCCTAGTAATTAGGGACTAAATATGTTACGCCAATGCTAGAGGCTTGACCTACCGGTATCAAAACCTACAACCACCATCCTCAATCCAGACATCCAAACGGCGCACCATGCCGTCTCTGCTCCATTAATCAGTACCAGGCTTCGGTATCGGCCCTTCGATAAGTGTCGCCATCGCTATGTCCGCTGTGCCAGAAGAAAGAGAGGCAACCCCTCTGCACATCAAGACAGTGCGAAACTACGATACGAGTCCCAATGACACGAACCGCCACCACGACTGCGGCCACTATGAAATCCTACAAAAATTGATCACGTCGTCGCCGGCTGGTGGCTACGAAACTGAGTCGGCGGAAATCGAATCCTGTCTCGAACAATTCGTGGGCCGCGATGGCTTGGTCCTGTGGCGCCGAGTGGTGGTCCGAAGCGGACCCTCGTGTCCGAAGCAGATCGTCCACGCATCCTATATGCTACCGCAGGATTCCTCCTACGCCCCCCCGTTCCCCGACGGAACTGCAGCAACTACGGACGGAGTTTCTCGTCCATCTTTGCTCTGCTGGACCGCCTTTCCCGACCGCCCCGACCGTCCGCTGCTTTGTGTTCTAGCCAATCCGACATTGCTGTGCATCTGGGATGTGTATCCGTCGAATCCAGAAACCGAAAAGGAAGAGCAATCACAAGCCAATCCTAGCCAGACCGAAGATTTGGAGGGCGGGGAAGGTCAGAACATTCCCCTGCCCTTTGAGGCGTGTGTCATTTATGGTGTAGGAAACGKGGAGCATGGATTGCTTTTGCAACGCTGCGAGTCCACTGAAGACATTATCGCTTACCACAACTACCAGCAAAGCATCAATATCGCCGACAGCATGAATGATCTAGAAGACCAAAACAACGACGACGACGGATTTATTCTCAAGGCTCCTCCTAGACCAAAGAGACTGAGGGATTCTACTGGTGGAGGAAGCACGGCAATGGCCAGTCTGAACGTTTCTACGGCCAGCACTCCCACGATGATGGGCGGAGTCGGGGAAGGCGCGGCTCCGAATGCTTCGTTGTCGTCGCCATTGATGATACCCAGCCTCTTTTCTCTACACCACCCGCAGGGCGACATATTGCCCGTATCCACGTCTACTGCTGCTGCTGCTGCTGTTGCTACCAAGGGCGATTTGCCACGACCTCAAACGTCGGCATTTGTCGCTACGACGGACGTCTTTGAAAAAATTCTTTTCACGGGTGTCGTAAAGTGGGTCGACGAGGCCGAATGCGCAACGGCTCGCCGTGACTTTCGGCAAAAGTCGCTACCCATATGCGTCACCTATCACAGCCAGTTGCGCCGGCACGCTGTTTGGGAGATTCAGCACCCCCCGCCGCCTCCCCAGCAAGCCCCGCTCTGGCAGATGAGCCAGCAGTGGCGATCCAAGAACGCGCGGGATAGCCACCTGGGTGTGCTCCAGCAAGATCTCGAAGACTTTGAGCTTGCGGACGACCCTGTTGATTCTTCCCACCACAGCGATATCCCGTCTCGAAACGATGCATTAGCAGATGCACTGGGTATCGTTCGAAGAAATACACCCCGAAGCAATGCCGGTACTGCCGCTATTTCTAACGCAACACGCTCCTATCGTGCTTCATCCGGCAGTGCCGGCATGTCGTCGAACCGGAGCGGCAAAGCCAAAACCCCAATGAATTCTTCGCTTCTCTCGCCGCTGTCGAGATCGCACACACCGACTGCCAACGGCAGTCATGTACTGGATGGATTTCGCGACGGCTTGACGAATGCTGGGTTTGCTTCAGATTCGACGACGAGGGCATCTTTCACAAGGATGGGACCGTTTGCGAGTCTGCATCCAAAGGCAAATTTAAACTGCATCTATGTCGACTCAAACTCTATGCCACCCGCGGAAAACATATTTTTGGCTTCCAATACTAGTGGTTCTGGCACCCTGAGCTTATGTCTCGTTTGCCCTTCCAGTCGGGGAGGGGTTGGTCCCTCGGTCGACAATACAAAAGAATTGACTGTTTATTCTCTTGCGCCTGTAGTTGAAAAAGGACGGAATTTTGCAGTTCAACCTGAGGGCTCAGTGCCCTGCGTTGCGGCACAACCTATCGAAGCTTCCCCAATCCCCAGAAACTACGCACCCCATCGAAGGAATAAATACAAGACACTGACAGAAATGGCAACCGACATACTTCTTCTCAGGAACCATGCTCCAAACGAAAGCACACTGTCACTCTATAGAAACACGCAGCACATAGTAGATTGCACGATAACCATACCACAGTCTCCTGAACTACCGGTTGAGATGACCGATCTAAAACACAGCTTCCGGAATGTCATCGATGTTGTTTATTGGGATTCAAAGACGATGCAACACCAGAGCATAAGGGGTCGCCTTTCCTTGCTCCTTAATTCGGACTCTATCGGCGAGGCGCTAATCCAAACGGTCGAAGCTGCTTTCCAGACCTCCATGACCCTCGATGTAATTGCATTAAAAATACGAGCAGACTGCATTAGATTGGAACAGGCAACTAGTGGGGTAGGGGCCGAGATTGCAAAGCTTGTCATCCTTTCGCTTTTCCGCTTTGACATTTTGGGAATAGATGTCAATGCGATGGAAATGGATCCATGCGTAAAAGAAGCGACGACGATAGACCAGACGCAATGGGAAATTCTTTTAGAATATGGTAATGGAGAACCATTTTCCGTCGAGTACGAAGAGATATTTGACGAATCACCAGTGGCGGATGGCGCCGACTGGATTTCTGAGAGAGTGAAAAAAGGGACAAGCTTTGTCGATCTATGCAAAATATGCTCGCTGTCCACACAGCATTTGGTGTCGTCTGGATTGATAATTGGCACAACAGTTTTCGATTCTTTGCACCTCTTTTATGAGGAACTAAAGCTTCACAATTCCAAGCAAGAGGAAGCACTGAGCTACATAGGATCGATCCTTTGTGATATCTGTTCCATGGCTTCGTGCAACACAATGCAGCCCAGAGATGTAACAGAATCATATCTTTCCTATTACTCGCTGGACTTAGAAGACCACTACCAATATTCTATAGCAGGAGATATTAGAAGCGATTCAGGAGTGAAGAAGGCATCAACAAGGCTGGAACAATTCAAGCTCTCTTCGTTTTCTTCACCTCCATCTATTTTGTCCTGGATAGAAGAAGTTATTTGTGGAAACATGGCGAGTTCGCAATATGAAGCATTTGAACGCGCAGACTTAAACACTACTTGCAGAAGAATTCAATCTTTTCTACTCATCTTTCCGAAGCTATTCGAGAAAGATGACTCGAGTGGAGAGGATGCTAGAATCAACGGGGAGTCAAAAGATTTCGAAGTTGTGAAACTCTTACTCGAAGAAGGCTTCTCTGATCCTGATGCGTTGCGGGACGAGTTGCCAGTGGGTGTGGCACTTCCTCTTCTTGAACTACTCCATCGATGCCGTACGTCACAAATTGCCTATAATAGTGTAATGGATCCCTCAGTATGGTTGTTGATCGGAAGAGAAGACATCAGCATGAAAAAATCAGATTCTCAACAGAATCAATCACATGAATCGAAACCTCCTGCTCCTTTGAATGGCCTAAATTCGTCTCCGTCACTCGAGGAGTTTGGAAACAACGACAAAGATGGCATCACTCAATTAGAATCGGCGTCATCCATGTTATTTCCTGATGACAATCGAATTAGAGAAGTTGGCCGTTTGCTCCGGTCTTCCAAGCCAGCATATCTTCATGTTCCACGGGCTATTGAGGTGTCTGATCATGACTACGAAAGGCAGAAGCAAGACAAGCTACTCCTTTTGAGTCGCCGAATTTTAGCTCTTCCATTGGGTCGTGGTATGCTCACCATTGGGAATCTCAAGCCGGTACCTGCCGAACCTCTCCCCTTGCCCGAGCTCTGCCTATCTGGACGAATCCCTCCAACGAACACTACAATGGCGTTAGATGTTTCCGAATGTCCCGTAGACTTGAAAGTTTGGCCGGAATTTCACAATGGAGTCGCTGCTGGTCTGCGACTACCTTTGCAGCTCGAAGCAGGAGAATCGGTATCCAAGATCACAAGGACATGGATCGTATACAACAGACCATCAAATAACAATCAGGCTGATTCTCAAAACAATTCAAATGCCACCGAGAACAACTCCCAAAACCAGAATCATGCTCACGGGGGTCTCCTCATGGCACTCGGAATGAGAGGCCATTTGACAGCTCTTGAGATGACTGATATTTTCGACTATCTTACTCATGGCTCCGTTACTACTACGGTGGGTTGTTTGTTAGGCATGGCGGCAAAGTAAGTTCTTCATTGTTCTCTATTTCTTATCACTTTCTCCCTTCGGCATATGGACCTTACCTTCACTTTGTGATGTTTAGCATGAGAGGCTCGTGTGATATCTCTGTTTCGAAGATGCTTTGCCTCCATATTCCTTCTCTGATACCCCAGCACTTTAGCACAATTGATGTTGCAAGCACCGTCCAAGCAGCTGCGGTTGCTGGGGCTGGTCTTTTGTACGAAGGATCATCTCATCGCATGATGACAGAGTTCCTTCTGAATGAAATCGGAAAGAGACCTTCAAATGATGGGAATGTACTTGACCGCGAGGCATATACTTTGGCGTGTGGAATCGCTCTGGGAATGGTGAATCTGTGCAAGGGAACCGAGAACAGCGTAGACAATGGGGTAGGTCTTGCGGATCTTAAAATCGAAGAAAGACTGTATCGTTACGTTGTAGGGGGTATCGATGATGCTGAAATACGGCGACGTTATGAGGAAACTGACCGTTTGAGTATGCCATCGGCATCTTCGTCAAGTAACAGTGACAAATGCTCCTGTATCTATGAAGGAGACTCAATTAACATTGACGTTACGGCTCCAGGGGCTACACTTGCACTTGGGCTAATGTACATGAAGAGTGGTAATGAAACGATTGCATCCGCTATCGCCTTGCCACAAACACACTTTCTCCTGGAATACGTCAGACCAGACTTTTTGATGTTTCGCGTCATATCTCGTGCGTTGATCCTATGGGATGATGTGCAACCAACGAACGAGTGGATCATAGCTCAGGTTCCCCGAGCTGCATACAACGCTTATAGAGAAATGAAAGATCTAGCTGAAAGACTTCAGTGTGGGGGTGTTGATGCTGCGGCTGGGAACGACGAACCAGAGTATGACCGTCAGGCAGTGCGTTTCATATATACTCATGTAATTGCAGCGGCTTGTTTCTCCATCGGTTTACGCTTTGCGGGTACGGGAAATACAGATGCTGCTTCTTTAATCTTCGAAAGAGTGATGGAGCTTCGGGAGCTTAGAGATGCATTGGACCCTGCTTCTACAGCGCTGCGTCCTCCTACTCCTGTAATCGAAATGTGTCTCGGTTGCGCAGCAATATCGCTTTCTATGGTATTGGCAGGGACTGGAAATTTGGATGCTCTGCGACTTTTCAAAATTCTAAGATGGCCTTGCACTGACGACATATATCATGGAAGTCACCAAGCTTTTGGAACTGCTATAGGCTTGCTTTTTCTAGGCGGTGGAACATGCACTTTAGGGCGAGATCCTAAAGATATTGCGGCACTCATCATGGCATTCTATCCAAGATTCCCTTCGTCGACATCTGACAATCAATACCATTTGCAAGCACTTCGTAACCTCTATGCTCTTGCGGTTAAAAAACGCGAGCTTAAGGCCATTGATATTGATACAGGGGAATGTGTCTTCGCTCCTATTGAGTTGCATTTCAGAAACAAAGAGTTAGAGCCAATGCATTTTACTGCTCCTTGTCTACTTTTGAATACAGATGACGAACCCTTCGAGCTTCGTGTCGTTTCGAAGCAGCACTATCCTCTAACAATGTCACTTGATTCCAATCTCGGAAGCAAAGTTTTCTTCGTGAAACGTCGAGGCGCATGCATATACGATAAAAGCCGTCCTCATTCTCACACATCACTTTTGATGCGGTCTGATAAGCTGGAACAACGAGATTCCTTGGATCTGGTGGCATCGTTCACGGATGACCAACGAATTCTTGCTTTTGCAAATCATTTTTGTGATTTTTGCGAGCCAAAGGTACAAAAACACACCTCTAGCCCATCGATGGCTCAATTTTGCAGCCGCATCCTCCACGAATGCTTTCTGCGTGACACCCGGCAAACGTTACCACTGTATCTGGCTCTACGGAATTCAATACACAAGGTTATTGCGGGGCGCAGTGCTCGCGTCGCACATGTTTGGGACTTTCGACTTGTTCGCTCGTACTATCAAAACCATGGTCTGACTTCTAGAGATGGAAATTCTCGAAGAGTATTGAATTGTGAACTTGTTGCGTATCTAATTGAAATGATGGAGTTAGCTCTCGCAGATGCGAAGTCCAGCAATAAGCTACTGGCCATCTTCTACAGCTACCCTCGAGAGTGTCGAAGTAAGAAAAACGACACAGACGACATGGATTTGACCTAATCATCAATTCTACAAATATTTCTGGAAGATGGAGAAAGCGCGAAACGAACTGAAGGACACTCAATGACATGTAGTGCAGTTAATGAAATTGATAAAAAGTTTGACACAATTTACTCTGATTCAAGTTTAATATTATGAAACGCTTTCCATATTGCCGCATGATCTTACTTTTTGATAATGCTGTGACGGTAGTTTTTGTTCCTACCGTATTTTCGCCACGGTTGACGCAGAATTTCAGTAATACCGCTGACAATTCCGAATTGTGCCGTTTTGCAGAGATTGATGAAAGGAAGAAAGAAATTCCTTCTAGAATCAAGTTACGAGTATTATGCTTGTAGAATCTGGTTTGAATGATTCTTTTCAAATTTTTGTTTTCCTTCAGATAGCAAATTGTTCTTTCTATTCTAGTGGTACAGCTGGGTTGCGCTCACTACTGTCCTGCCACCTCTCTTTCGATCGATCGATTGCACACCGTTCACAAGCTTTTGGTCTTGAAATTCCGGGAACCATCACGGACAATGTAATGGGAGAATCCCGTTGTTCACATCACTTTTCGCCGTTTTGTGTTGGGGGTCTGGGTTTGCGATTGGCTCGGTGGACCCGGCGAAAAGTACGAACGCCCGTAGTGGTCTTCTCCAACCGTCCCCGGCCGATCGTGCGGATTCGCAATATTGTTCCATGTCGTTGGCCCGAATCCCATCGCATCGTTGTCGTCTTCTCCTTCCAGCAGCGCCAGTGCCTGGTTTCGCAGATCGTTTGACATGTATTCCAGCATGTCGTAGCGCTTCAGTATGCTGTACTCGAAGACGACAAAGTCTTCGTCCGGGGCGTAAACACATGTATCCATGTGCATGGGATCCCCGTACAAGATGTTTTCCGGGTCGTCCACGTTTCCGTCAAAACCTCCGTAGGCATGCGCACTGCATTCCATGACCCGCAACACGGCGACGGCGTCCTCCAGGTGAACGGTGTTGCGGTACATGAGCCTGGCGTGGGCCTGCGACAGGCGAATCAGGGACTCGAGGAAGCGAACGGTGACGGGAATCGAAGAGGACTGTGCGGATCGCACTTTTTCGTAGTGCGCCTCGAGCAGGCGTGCAGCTTCGTCACTAATGGAGGGCTGGAAGCGGTCCTTGACAATAGCAATGTAGGCTCTCAGCTTTTCCATGGACCAGGGGGTGTCTTCCCCGGCGATTCCGGCCGAAGTGCTCGAGCATTCAAAACCTGTGCCCTGGATGGCACGGTTCAGGAGATACGTCGTCACATTGCTGTCCCTTTCTGCATCGGAGGAATCCACCAGCTTGAAGATCAGGTCAAACCTCGACAAGAGCGGCGTCCCGAGCCCGGTGTTGTGGGCCAGCGACATGTGGTTGTCGTAGATGCAGTTCCGTGGGTTCATGACGGCAATCACGGTGGCGCGGCAGTTGAGTTTGCAGACGATGCCCGCTTTTGCTATCGAGAGTGTTTGCTGCTCCATGGCTTCGTGAATGGTCGTCCGGTCTTCGTTCCGAATGCAACCGAATTCGTCGATGCAACAAATGCCTTTGTCGGCCAATACGAGCGCACCGGCTTCCAGAGCAAACTATCGGTGTTGAGACACAAAACATGGCACAGAGAGATCGAGAAGTCGAGAGAGAAAGAGAAGAGTCAGCAACAAAGAAAGGCCACATTGGAATGCCGTAACCGGTGCGATCGGTTCGTGCCTCTGCCCGCCGCGGAAAGCAGGCGTGTCGGGTTCTGCTTCGGGTGGAACGGTACCCACGCTCCCACGCACCTCTTTTCCGTTGCCCTCGCGGACCGCGGCACAGGTCAGCCCGGCCGATGTCGTCCCCACGCCGGTCGTCAGCACCGAGCGCGGGCACAGGGCCGCCGCGAACCTCAGCACCTGGGACTTGCCCGTCCCCGGGTCTCCGATGAGGAGCATGTGGGACATGTCCCTCCGCCGGGTCGTTACAATGGTCTCACCCCCGGCGGAAGGGGTCTTGGTCCCGGACCGGCCGCTGCCGGCGTTCTCGCCGTAAATGTTCCCGTTGTGCGACGAGGAATCCCCGGTGGAGAGGACCCGAAAGGATTCCGGTCGCATCGCGTGGTGGTACAGCGGGGGCATCCCCGTTCCCCTGCAGGCATCGGTTTCGTCGTCGTCGTCGTCGTCGTCGTCGTCGTCGTTGTTGTTATCGCCGTTGTCGTTGTCATTCATGTCGCCGCTGCTGGCACCGTCCAGCGAACCCGACGACACCCCGCCGATGAGGGTGATCAACAGGGCGAGCTTGATGACCTGGAGGCCGTAGAGCTTGGGACACACCGCCGTGCAAATAAAGTCCCTCGACGCGATCGGGTAGTCCCGCCTCCCCCTGGCGTCCCAAAAGACGTCGAATTCCTTCTTGTACTTGTCCAGCTCCCCCACGGACGACTCGACAAAAGCCGAGCCCCCGTTTTCCTGTGTGACCCGCACCGAGTGCGCCTTGAGGGCCATGCCGACCTGGCACTCGAGGCCCGGCTGCGCCGCCTGTTGCCACTGGGCCAGCAGGATCCCCACCACCACCACCTCGTCCCCCGGCTGGCACGAGTCCACCAGGTCGTGCTGCAGCTTGATCAGGAGCGACCGGGGTATGCTGCCCACGCCGAGCTTGGAGGCCGACTCTTGGATCTTGATTTCCTGGTAGTCGGTGTGGACGGACCCGTCCTTGGTGGCCTTGAGGTTGGTCCCGCTGCACCGCTTGCCGTCCTTTGAGAAGAGGGGGCAGCGTTCCGGGACCACCATGGCGTTGTTCTGCTGCTCGAGGTCGGCTTCCTGCACAAAGGTCCCGGAGCAGCCGTTCTTCCCCGCACACCTGTAGGTCCTGGCCGACTCGTACATCTGTACCGCCGAGGTCCGCACCACCGTTCCCGAGAGCTGTACGATCTTCCCCACGTCGGTGGCCTGGGAGGCGACCGACGTCCTGGAACAGGTCGGCGGGAGGTGGAAGATCCGGGCGTGGACCCGCGACCCTGCCCTGCCCTTGACGGAACGGTGGCTTTGGTTCGCGTCCCCGGTTGCTGCCAGCCCCTCCTCTTCCTCCCCGGCTTCCAGCTGGCCGAGGAGGTCGTTCTGGGCCTCGACGATGGCCTTTTCGAGCAGCGGCACCAGGGTGTTGGGAAACTTGAGCAGGAGGTGGCCGAGGACGGGATTGGCCACAAAGAGATCAAAGGCGTCGATCTCCAGCGAGTAGTCGCGGGTGGTCCGGCTCTCCGACGACAGCAGGACCTCTAGCGAAGACCGGCACGAGGAGAGGAGGTGCTGCTTGAACAGGTTCTCCACCTCGGCGGGAGTCCCAAGCTCCTGGTAGGACGCCCGGCAGAGACGCTCCGCGGTCCAGGGATGGCCCCGGGCGCTTCCAGCCGGACCGGACGGGCCCGGCATCCCTGCGTGTTGGCCGCCTGCCGTGAACAGTGGACTCCTCTTTCTTGCTTCCGCTTCGTCGTCCTGGGCCGGTCCACCGGATCCATGGGCACGGCTCCCGGTGTGTCCTGCCGGTGTGCTGCTTGCCGTCTAGCGGTCTAGCGGTCTAGCGGTTTTCGCTTTTGCTTTTGCTTTTCGCTTTCCTTTCCTTTTCGCTTTCTCTCGATCAGCACGATCTTGGACCAATCATTGCTGTTGTTGTTTGGTTTTCGGTTTTCTGCCTGCATACCGTACCGTAGCTTCCCGGTTGGAGGTTTGGAAGATGAGTTGCCGTCGCGTAACACGAAGTACCGTACCGTACCGTACGGTACAGTACTCGTACGAGACAGGGACGATACGAAACAGCGTACAGTAATTCCAAGTACGTACGTACCTTACCATACTGGAAACTACGAGATCCCCGACTAGTCTGATGCACGACTAGTTTGATGGACACAAGAACGGTTAGGATTCTGAATACAATTTTCTTGGATTGGATATCAAATTGATTTTTGTGCCATCATTGTAGAGCTACTACTACTGGAAAAGTAGTGGGCAAGATGGATGAAAAACAGAGTGTTGAACTTTTTGTCAGGGACAGGACTGTTTTTCACAAAATTTGATGGAGAACGGACTATTTCTTCTAGAATTAGTACTCTTCCTGTACTAGAGACAGATGAAAAATTAATGGGGGAGTCGTCCTCCTGTAATTATCATACTACTAGGCTTGGCCACACAATTCTGGCCTTGTCAGCCCTGTATACCTTTCAATAATTGTTACTCCCTATAACCCCCCCACATGACTATATCTGTCTTTTTACTGGGATTCCATTCTGCATGTGCCTAGTACTAGTATCATACTTAAGCGGCCATTGGGGACCAAGTTTTTATACTAGCTGGCTGTTAGAGTGACGAGTTGATGCTTACTTAATGTTCTACATGTTTTTATACTGTACATCTATTTTTGGCTATCTGGCACTGTGGATATCATATTTTTTTTCAAACGCATGAAATTACACTTTGGTTCTGAAAATTATCACCTAGATGTCCTACTGCTGATTCCTACACAGTAGTACATACCTGACCAGGGCCAATCCTCCTCCCTGGTCTCCACCATTCAAGCAATCTAACCAAGACTACTAGTATACTGCTGAAACCAATTTCATTCCCCCATCCCCAGCCGGTGGTGGCAGTTTGTCCCAGCTGGTGATATATCCCCAATTCTTACTGTGGACTGGGAAGCAAGATTCCGGTCACTATGTTGTTGTTTTCGACATTTGTGTTGAACACCAACAACAACCACCCCAGCCCCCAGTACTATTCAACCATGACCTGCTATCCTTTGAAGAACAAAGCCTGAAAATTCACCACCAGCTCACTCAATGCAACAAATTCCAGTATTTACTACAGACCAGCAGAAGCAGATTCAGGTCATGATGTTGTTGTTTCCAACACTAAACAACCAACAAGCAATCCAACCAAAATGATGCTTATACAATTAGGATCGTCCCCAGCAGCACTATCCCCCACCAGTTGCTTGCAATCTTTCTCAGCAGCTGGATCCATCCCCCATTTTTAAGGACCAGGAGTATCTTCCCGTCTTGAAGTTCGTGTTGGAAGACAACAGCAGCAACGACAACCCCAGCCCCCAGTATGCAACCAAGATCTTTCCTTTGAAGAACAAAGCCTAGAGTATATGCTACATCATACTCAATTTTAAAGAAGATTCACCACCAGTCTTAGCTCCATGACGTGCCAGTTGTTCTATTTACAGATTGGAAGAAGATTACAGATGTTGTTGTTTCTGACATTTGTGCTTGACAGCAACAACAACAACAACACAAGCCCCCAGTATTAGACCAAGACCTTTCGTACTCCTTTGAAGAACAACGCCTGGCATATATGCTATGAACTCAGTTTAAAAGAAGATTCCCGAGTCTCTCCATGCAATTTCAGTATTATTTATGGACCAGAAGCAGAAGATTCTGGTCACGATGCTGTTGTAACACCACCAACAGCAACCCAACATGCTCCATTAAAGCAATCCAATCAAGATGATGATATCAGCATCCCCAGTAAACTCACCAGCTGGCAGCGACTACTTTAGAGGAAGACGAGACAGTAGAGAAGGATGGTGGGTGACTAGTAGTAGTACTACTACTACTAGTATTAATATAACAAGAAGTACTACTACTATAATAATACCACCAGTAGTAGTACTTGCAACAAAACATCCATAATCACCCTCACTGGTAGTACTACTACTGCTTCTGATGCTACCGGTGGTCGTGTATCATTACTTATACTATACTAGAAGATTCCATTGCTACTAGTACTACTAGCAGACTTTACCCCTTCCAGTGAAAGTCGTTCTAGAGCAATCCGATCCGACGAGTGCTTACAGCAAGAGAATCGCGGTATCGATTGCGCTCACCGCGCCCAGAAAGAGGAAGCTATTCTTGACCAGGTCCTTGCGCTCCCGCCCCTTTCCCTGCAGCACCCAGAGGTCCTCGCGAAAGCTCGTCACGAGCTCCGTTCCCAGCTTGTCCAGGTGCCTGAAGTGGATCTCCTGGACCTCCCGGAACTCGGCCTCGGAAATCTTGGGCGAGAGCTCCACGTACCGCTTGCGCCCGCTCCAGCCGGCTTGTTCGTCGACCAGGACGGACTTCAGCTGGTTGCCCTGGTCGGCCTTGTTGGCCCACGCATAAACGCACCGCAGCCGGTGGTCGATCTCGAGCTCGCGGTCAAAGTGCCGCTGGCACGCGCGCTCGAACATCTTGGCCAGCGTCTTTCTGGTCTTTTTCTCCCTTCTCCTGGCCTTCCATCCCTGGCGGCCCACCGCGCCCGCATTGTCGACGTCGCCGTCACCGCCGTCCTTTTCGTTGCCCGCTCCGATTGCCGACAGGGGGGCACGGACCGGAAAGGCGTCGACGGCCTCCCTGAAGAGGACCTGGAGGGCGTCCGTTTCGATGCCGAGGCAGAGGTGCACCACGTGGTTCATCTCGGCCTCGTCCAGGGAGCCGTCCCGGTCCCGGTCCATGAGGTTCCATGCCGCTGTGATGCGCTCGGAACAGCTCCCAGTGGCGGTTTTTTGAAGGAACCCGAGGACTCCCGATATCGACACCGTCTCGAGTTCCGGCACCAGTGCGATTCCCTCGGAGGCCGCGCGATCGATATCGCCGTCCGACACCGTCGTGAGCACATCCCAGGACGCAGACACCTTGTCCACGGTGGCCTTGGTGAGCAGCAGGCGGTAGCGGGCTACCGCGTTCCGAAAGAAGGGGGATCCCACGTCCAGGGCGTCGCTCTCTGCGCCGCCGAGTGAGCAGAGAAGGTTCTCGTCCTCGCCGGCCTCCCCAAGCTCCTCGGGGATCGTTTCAGGATCGAGAAAGTCGCGTACGTGCCTTAGGCAGGTGTCCGCTGGAACCTCGCCGAGCAGGTTGTCGAGTTTAGCCGATATGAGCTCAAGCTTGATCTCCATTGCCGTCCGAGAAAGTTCGTCGTCTTCGGAAGGATCGTGCTGGCTGTCGAGCCAGGCAGAAAAGTCGCTCAGGAGTTTCATTTCATCCTTCGTGCCCGAGAGATCTAACGCGGCATCCGTACACTTCGTGATCAGCTTAAGCCCATCCGCCAGGTACAGGTCCATCAGCTCCTCGTCGGTTGCCTTGTCGTCTAGTGTAAGGTCGCCCTCGCCGAGGGCGTTTCGGAGCTCTCCGAGTTTGTCGCGTTTTGCAGAGGTCAGCGCAAAGACGCCACCAACAATGGCAAGATCTCGTTCGGTCGGAATCGGTGCTAGGTGGGAGGCAATATTTCCGGTCGTTGCAATGGATGGCGGTTGGTCTTCTTCTGTTTTTGTTGTGGAGGACGGTGACGCGTTCTCAGACGGAACCGAAGGTATTTTCGATTTGGTAGAGAAAAAATGCTCCTGCTGTTTGTGCTCGAATTCCGGCTGTTGTAAACTACCATGTTGATAGATTGCCTGCAAAGCCAGTGATGATGTAGGAATGCATCTTCGACGTTTTATTGCCGCTTTTGAAGATGCGTTGATTATCCTTGAAACGCTGCTTGAAAACATGACGGGTGGGAATTATGGATGGATCTAAATCTTCCCACACACAGGTGATGGTTTTTCCAATCAAACTATTGCGTCGGCAGTTAGTTACCTTGTCGTTATTTATTAATGGTGCAATGCGTGTGATCGATGCTGGACTGCGAAGCCTAATTTGCTGCTTGTTCTTGTAGTTCTTTCCTTCGGGAGATTCATCCGGTACGGTATGGTTTTGTAAATTTGTGAAAAGTACAAACACCTTTACGGGAACAGGTGTACCCGTACCGGTACGAGTACCTGGTACATACGTGCAATGTATCTCAAATAGCATATCTCAAATAGCATGCGGTAGCATCGAAGATAAAAAATAATTGATGTTGTACGAGTATCGTACGAGGACGTGCGAGCATGGCGCCCAAAAACATCACATCAACCTCTCTGTCGTACGGTACGATACGACTGGCTTGGAAGTGGGGGGAATTGAACTCATTTAAGGGGTATATTTAGGGTCGATACACAAAGCCATTGGTAGTATCGCATCGTACGAAACACAACTCATAAGTAGTACGAGCAAGTAACATTAGTGCTCATGTCACAAGCGTAAGTACGGTACGTAGTAAGAAAAGTACAGTAGTTCGTACTCGACAAGAAGTACTAGTACAAGTAAGTACTGGTACGCACGAGTACGTACGGTACACTGTTCGTGTTCGTAGAACCCGTCTCGTGCTGCAAACGAAACATCTCAACAAAACTGCTTCATGACTAGCGCAGTGTCTCACAAGTCTAACTCCAAACTTAACTGAACTCTCCGATGAGAATCGTTCCGACAAACTGCAACAGACTCCCCGCAAGTACTTTCTGACGGAATCCAAAACCCTCTGTACGCACAAGGGCCAAAGCGTTAAAAGCGAACGATGGTGCAGAAAGCCTTTCTAAAGATCCGGGTTGGCGAAAGGCAGGTCCTGAGCTTCGATTTGGTCCTGTACGACGATGACGTTCCAAACACGGTCCGAAACTTTGTCCACTACCTCGAAGAGCGAGGGTCCACCGGATACCTGAACTCGCGCTTTCATCGCATTATCAAGGGATTCATGGCGCAGGGAGGGGATTTCGTCAACGGAGACGGCACCGGCACGGCAAGCATTTACGGTGGGACGTTTGCGGACGAGAATTTTCTCCGCCGCCACGACCGACCGGGGATACTCTCGTAAGTGCTGCACCAGCGGGGGAAATCGGCCGCTGAACGAGATCCACTTTCCATCCAGAGCATCGACAGTCATTTGAAAACCACTAACGCTGGTCGTGTTTGTTGACGAAATTTCTCTCTGTTTCATTTGCGCGAAGTATGGCCAATAGCGGAAAGGACACCAACGGCTCGCAATTCTTCATCACCTTCCGTCCGACACCGCACCTCGACAACAAGCACGTTGTTTTTGGCCATGTGGATCTCTCGTCAACGTCGAGCAAGGATTCGTTGCGAATACTGGAAAACGTACGAACCGGCCGGAGCGATCGACCAGTGACACCCGTCCAAATCGTCGACTGCGGCATCATCTCCGATGATGAGGGCAACGACGAGAGCGAAAAAGGTGCCAAAAAGGGATTGGTGTCGGGAGAGAATACAACAAAACACCCAACAGCGAAAGATGACATCGAAGTGGAGTTGCCGGTGGAGGAAGAGGAGGAGGTACCTCCAAAGACCAAAGCGGAAGCTCTGAAGCGACGTATGCGAAAACTCAAAATGAAGATGAACCAAGCCCGGCAACTGAACAAACAAGAAGTCTTGCGAGAGGGAGAACGCCTCGGAAGTGTCGAGGGAGCTGCCAAGGCACGCAAGCGACAACAAATTATGGACAAAAAGGCCAAGGAGCTCGAGTGGAAGAAAAGAAACAGCAAGGCCCTGGAAGTTGCCGCGGCCGCTGGCTTGGACGGGAAGCACCTGGTGGAACAGGCCGATGCGAGCCTCCGGAAAGCCTACAAGAAGGAACAAAAGGCCGTTTCGCAGCAGTTTGCCGTGAACGACTACTACAATCCGGAGGGACAGCACAGAAACTACGAGCGCAATCTCAAGAGCCTGTCGCGGGCGGCCGGGCCGCTGCCGGAGGACGCGGTGACGAACGGCCACGCAACCTTCGACCCGACCACGGACGAGTCGGACGAAAAGCGGGAGCGAGAGGGAGCCCGCAACCTGGCCAACGAGCTGAAGCGGCGAATCGAGAAGCAAAAGGAGAAACGAAACCGCCTCGAATTCGAGGGAGAGGACGTCACCTGGATCAACCAGCGAAACAAGAGGTTCAACCAAAAGATTTCCCGCAACTTTGACAAGCACACGGCGGAGATCCGCCAGAACCTAGAACGGGGAACGGCCTTGTAGGCGCAATGCATCCAGGGACGGGGCGTGTTTTGTGTTCATTAGTATTGCTAATATTACATCACTATCATCTTTATAATCCTTATTTTTTCACTCCTGTATCTCGTTCCCTTCGTTTTAATGATTCGAAACAAATGCGAACCAATTGCAGAAAAGAATTGTTCCTTTTAGACTAATTGGATCGTTTCAAATGAAATTGTTACCGAAACCATGGATGTGAGCGTGTGTACGATGTGAGAAGCTGTACAGATAGTATGCGCCGTGGCGGAATCTTCGCCCCTGCCAAAGAACATTCAAGTACAGAGCAGCAGAATTCGGGTAGCTTGTTCGGTTTGAAATAATAATTTGTTCAGGAATAGTACTAGTTCTACCGGTACACCATTACAAAGTACTCGCACAAGCAACACAGGAGCTTAGTACGAAGTAAAGAACTCAAGTGCTTCGTATGAAATACTAGCACAATTTTTCGTCAAGCAAAGCCGTGTTCAATTGTTCAACACTACATCCTCCCGTGTTGTAGCTCGTAACAGGATATACAGTACATACGTGATGCACGGTATTTGGTCATTCCCATTAATCTAAACGATCTACTTTTTGACAGGTAGACAGACAAAAAATAGAGTATGTAGGCAATTTTTTTGACTGTCTGTCAATGCTCAATTCAGCATTGACAGAAGATCAAAAATCTAGTCCCAAATCCAAGAATGAAAATCCAATCTAAGAATAGTAAAAATAATGACTATTTTGTGTGCAAATTTAACACACAAAACCAGTCCTGCATATTTTCCTGGGGTTGTTATTCATCGGCCTCTGAGGTGCATTTTCATCTGTTGAATACTACCTGAAAATGCAATAATCCAACATAAACCAGGTCAAAAGCATTGGGATGTATGGAGGTACAAACTAAAATTTTTTGATTACTATTCTGCTCCCTTCTTGTCTTGTTATCACAAATTACAGAGGACGCTTGGTGATACAGAGGATGCTGGTGATATGGAGGACGCTTCCTGATACTACAGAGGAGGATGCTGATACGAGTCGCTGATACAAATTGCTGATGTGAATCACTGATATGAGTTGCTGATATAAGTCACTGGTACAGAATGCAGATACAGGAGAGGCTTGCTGCTACAGAGGATGCTCACTGATACAGAGGCTCACTGATATGGAAGAGGCTTGCTGGTGGTGAGGAGAATGCTGATACAGAGGAGGCCTCCCACTGATACAATTTGCTGGTGATACAAAGGAGGAATACTTTACATTTTGCTGATACAGGGGAGGAATACAGAAGAACTGCTGATACGCTGAATACTACAGATGCTGCATACGGACACTGAACAAGGACTGCTGCTGATACAGAGGATCATCATGCTGATGCGGCGTTTGCTGATAGTATCTGCTACTAGTAGTAATAACTACTTGTCCCTTTTTAGAGAAATAAAATGATAATACGTTTTGGTTATTGTCAAGAATTACTTCCAGCCAGCAAGTTATCCTGCTCAACCGACTTGGCAGATTTTTCGAAGTAGGAATCAACACAATGCACACGCACGCAGAATTGTACATTGTCATGGAAGTCAAATAGAATAAAAAAGTACAAAAATAGTCGTTATTCGACTGGAATTGTCCTTCTGGAATAAGGGAGTTTGAGGGTTGGAAAAATGTAAAAACATCATGGTATCAACAAATTTTTAATGTAGAGCATGTACTAGGTTGAACGCCTTTTTTTCTGAAGAAACATAAAGTTACGGAAATGAGATGGTGGTGGCACGAGATGAGTTTGCTGATATGCTATTCAAAATTTGACTTCCACTTGCAGCTCACCGCAAAAGACTAATTTCCTACTGTTGCAAAATTAGTTGTATTGTTGATTTGTACCTGCCTAGTACGTACAGGCGCGAACCGTTCGATGCCACAGTTTTAACGCTGTACTGTAATGTTCTTACGATACCGGTACGTACGTTACATAAAGTACGGTATCTTCGATAGGAACGCGTTATCGATGGAACGCTGTCATTTCTAGCGAGTCCGCAAAAAATACAAAATACTATTGCTACCCCAAGTAACAGTAACAGTACCGTACTCGGGGAAGCCAGACCTGTCATCCAACACCCCCTGTCCGAACGGCACACTACCGTACCGTACCGTACCGTACCGTACCTCCCCCCGACGAACAGGACACGAAGCCCGCGATCCGCACCGATCCTACCCGCATTCGATTCGACCCGCATTCGACCCGATTCGATTCGATTCGACCCGATCCCCGCCCCGGCGCAGCGGAAGAGACCCCATTGCAGCATGTCGTCGAGACCCCCGCCCCCGCCCGCGGTGGTGGTTCCCGCCGGCGACGACCACCCCCTCGCCGCCCCTCCGACCGCTGCCCCGGCGTTTGGTTCCCCGCAGCGCCGCCCGCGGGTGGCCGCCCCCGTGGTGCCCCCGCCCCCCCCGATCTCGGAAGCAGCCCCTGCCACCGGCCAGGGGCCCGTCTCCGTCTCCCCGTCCTCCGGGTCCCTGGACGCCCTGGCGGACGACTTTTTGTCCCTCGGGCGGGCCCCACCGATCGCGCTCGGGCCGAGCCCGCTCCCACGGGGGGAGGCGGGGGTGGCCCGGCTGCGGACGCTCGTGGAACGCCGGGCGTGGGGGGACGTCCTCAAGCTGGCGTCGGGTCTGCTGGGCAACGGCAAAAGCATCGGCAGCAACAAGGACGACGGAGGCGGTGCGAAGCGGAGCAACAAGGCGCTCTCGGAAAAATATTCGGGAGTGTACGCGTCCCTGCTCTTCGAAAGCAACAGCGAAAGCAACAGCGAAAGCAACAGCGGCGGGGAAGCGATGGGTGCCGCCCGCCAGGAAACCGCGGAAATCATGGTCCTGCAGTGCAACGCGTGGCTCAAGCTCCGCAAGTACACGGACCTTTCGAGGGAGGTGAAGCGGTGGAAATTCTTGAAGCAAAACGACGTCAACGCCGATCCGATCGAATGGATCCCGTGGGGAATCCGTAAGTCGGTTCCTCCTTGCGCGGCGGCAAGATGCTGCGATTCGTTTCGTTTCGTTCCGTTTCGTTGCAACTTGAAGCGTGAACGAAGTGTTCAGGTTTTTCGCTCACCCTTTTTGAGTTTGTGTTGCACCGTTGTGCTCGTGTTTGCACCATAACTATTCTGACGATTTGCAACCGCGTCTGTTCTCGAGGCACGCAGATATCCTGGCAGGCCAGTCGCTCGACTATTCGGACGACACGAAGCAACAGACCACGGACGTGCTGTGCCATCTCCGGGAGCAGATTCCTGCCTCGGAACGCGGCTGGTTGGCACATCTAGACAGCGCACTGGCGAATGTATACATACGGAGGGGGGCCTGGCGGCTAGCGATCGGTGCCCTCGACCGCGTGGTGGATCTCGTCCCGGAGGCGACAAAGGCGGAGGTGGCCGCGATGCTGGAAATCGCCAGAAGCGGCAACGACGGTGGCTCGGCAATAGAAACCGATGCCGAAGAGAGAATCACCGCGTTTTTGTCCAAAACGTACCTGTCCGAGATTTTGTCCCGGCGGGGTCGAATACTGCTGCAAACGGGTGGCATTAGGGAAGCGAGCGAGGTCTTTAAACAAGCCAGAGCCCTCTGGACCGAGGCCGAATCGATGCCGTTGCCCCCCGTGACCCTGCTGTCCGAGCCATTCTCGGGCCGCACCAAGGTCCTCCGGGTGGCCATGCCGGCGCTCGTGGACATCAATCGAGGCCTGGTTGGGTTTTCCGAGAGCCGCTACGACGCCGCGATGGAATCCTTTTCGGCCGCGGTCCGGGGGCTCCGGGCCGAGCGTGGAGTGGTGGTTTCCTCCGGATATCGGGCACGCCACTGGACGGGGCCGGCGGTGGCGGGATGCCAGGCACCGTCCGTTCTCTACACCGAAGCGGTCAACAACACGTCGCTCTGCCACCTCTATACCTGTAACATGAGAGAGGCCGTCCTGGCACTGGAGGGCCTGGTCCGGGAGGACCCAACCCTCTTTTTGACGGAACGGATCGCCTTCAACCTGTGCACCCTGTACGAGCTTGGTTCCGATTCTCCCGTTGCCACCCGGAACAAGAAGGTGCTCCAGCTGATTGCCAAACGATTTTTCTTGCACGACGTCGGTCCCGAGAGTTTTCGGGCAACGTAACACGATGCAAACAAGGCACATACCGAACAGAACTACGAACAGTACTCATACTACATTTACGTTTGATTATTGCAGAACGAAACTGTGCTTCCATAGATTGGCATCGTATGTGCCCCCGTGGCCTTTTTCGTTTCGAAGCGCCCGCGCTTGCCTTCCGGATTCGCGTTTCTCGATCACGGAGTCCGATTGGGAAAGGCTAGACGGTCGCACCATCGACCTCGACGGCGGTGCAGCATTGCTTCAGCCGATCGCCGCGCACAATCGCGACCGAATCGCCTCTGTCTAGTTCCCGTTTTCGCTTCAATACCGTGCCAAACAAATCCCTTGGATCGGGCCGATTGGTAGCCCCGAAATGCGGTGCCTCGACGGTTGCCCCCCATTTGAGCACCACGGTGTGGTGAGCGTACCAAATCATTCCGGGTTGAACGACACCGTTCGGATACGTCCCAGGAGACTCTGTAAGATCATCCGGTTGTATCTCTTCGAACGGGGATGTGGCCAACTTTTCGAGCAGAAAATCTTCCGACAGGTAGTTGGAAAGCGCACACGTCTCGTCGCCCACAACCTGTTCAAAGCCGTGGTTTCTGGTCAGACCTCACTCTTCGTCGGCCTTTTTGGCCCCCTCTGCCCCTTCGCTTGTCCACGCAATCAAATATAGATTGTGGGCCGCCTTTTTTCCCTTGCTGTAGTCTCCGAGTTTTTGCAGATAGTATTTGTCGTATTTGCACCAAGATCCACGGAAGATCACCAAACCAACGAAATCTTTCTGGTTACGGATGTCGTTCAGCCATTTTTCGGGATTCGTTACGTACATCTTTTTGTTGATCATTGTTGTGCTCAGTTCGGTTTGTTTTGTGTGTATTTGAATGCTTCGTTTCACATTTTGTGTTTGGTTGCTCTAAGACACCCTCAATCCCATCTTGCAGCTGACATCCAACTAGGGTAATGAAGAGTATGAATCGTCAATCGTTCGTTCTTTCTGATGGAACAAAACTAAATGGGTCAGGCTGGGTTCTCTTTTTGCGGGGAAAACTTCAAGTGCATGCGAAGAATGTACAAATTCAAATTCATCATGATGTCGGATTACAATCTCTCATTTCTCGGAAAAAAATGGAGGCGAAAAACATGAGGTTTCGGGTTTGAAAGAAATCTGTCCATTCCGAAGGGCATCTTTTGTCATGAAGATGAAACAACAATAATATGGAGAATTAGATACAGATAAGCAACGCGAAGTGACGGGTTGAAGGAACAAGAACTAGAAGAAGAAGAGGCAGAGGAAGAAAAAATATCGAGATCCCTTCGATTGTTCAATTTCAAATCTAGGGAGTTTTCTGGCTCTTGTCGAGTAGCTTTTTGCAACAGACAGTATCACAATTGAGTTTGTTCAAAATACAGATTTTGGGAAGAGCTACAATTGATCTACACCTTTGAGTAGCGGCTTTGAATAGATTTATTTTTATTGCTCAACATTGCCTTAAATGTCTTGGTACAAAAAGATTTTTCCATCTGCACCTGCTGTAAATATCCATGGTTGGGTTGGATGGAACGACAAGGATAGGACTCCATGTTTGTTCTTTATTTCGTGTCCTCGCAGAATCTTCACGGGAACAATGAGTGGATTTCGCATCAAGTCCGAATACACCATGCTGTGAAAGATGTGAACAGCACCATCGTCTGAAGCACTAGCCATCAGAGGATACCTATGGTGGAATCCGACCGATCGAACGGCACGCTCGTGATATTTGAGCGTTTTGTATGGTGTATGAGATAAGTCCAGATCAAACCACACCATTCGGCGGTCAAGACTTCCGACAATCAAGTGATCTCCAGATGAGTGAATGTCAAGGGAAGAAATCCAGCGACAACCAGAAATAAGTCTCTTCACCATTGCTTGTTTCACCAGGTGGTAGATACGAACATGCTGTTGATTGGCAACAAAAAGGAACGGCTTATTTGGATGAAAGCATGCGGCTTGAACTTCACCCTTAGCTTTGCTAAACGGCTGTTGCGAGTTTCCCTTACTAAGCTGATGAATAAGGACAGATGAAGCACCTGCCTTCGGACTGATCGTTACAAAGTAATCTCCTTTGCCGTGCCATCGAATCTTGGTCATGTTCGATTTTGTGCAAAGTGCACAAACGGGACCACTTGCACTAGCAAACATACTAATAGGTGTTTCCTTTTCGGAGACAGATACCCATTGAACAGCTTTGGATGCTTTGGCCGAGCTTACATTACCTCCACGTTTTGCAGACGAAAGAAGGGCTCCTGTAATCTCTGCGTTACGTTGCCCCTCGGTTCCAGTAGCAATTACTATGGCACACTTTCCGACAGCTGCCAAAAGACAGTGATGAGCACGATTAGGGTTCCATTCCAAAGCAACAACAGGCTTCACACTTTCACTTCCAGTGCTCTCCTCCCATTCGTCGTCGGCTGACAAAGCAACTTTCGAGACATTCCAGCTCTTGAGTAGGCGGCCCGTTTCTACCTCCCACAACCGAACATATCCATCCGAAGCCCCGCTTGCCATGAATTTACCATCAGGACTTGGAGTGACACATCGAATCATTGGTGGTTCGTCACCTTCGTGAGGTGTTTTGTACTGGATACACTTGGCAGTCGGGAAGGGTCTCAAGTCGCTTGCCTTTGGAAGTTTGGGAACAAGACTTTCTGGATCAATATTCAATCTACGTTTCATTTGACGAGGACAGAGATAAAGATCAAGACAACGTTCAAACGTTTCTCGTACAGAATGTTCGTAAGCACCAACGGATCGTAGATTGGGGAATTTCTTGGGAACCAACAAACCATGAGGACGATCTTTGACTTCCATTTGCTCCCACTCCTTGATTTCGTCTTCGGTTGGAATATATTCATCCGGTGGAATGTATGATTCGGCATGACCGGGAGGCGGAAGTTTCGGTGCTGCAATGTGTTGAGGACCCTTCCTCATATTGAGCTCGTCTTCTTCACCACCAGTCCACATGAGGAACGGTTTGTCCTTGTCTTTACTGCTCTTATTAGCATCATTCATATCTCGGATCTTTCCGGTGAGATAATCCATGTTGATATCTCCCTTATCAAGCTTTCGAAGGAGCTCGTCCACCTGCATTTTCTCCCATTTACTCGGCTGAAATTTTGACTTAGGTAACGTTCGATTAGAGTTGATACCTGAGAGCTCTGGATCAACTCCACTAAAATAGTCAATGTATTCAGCATTGCCATCAAATTCTGGGTGAGCATATGCTCCCCCCTGAATTCTCCTAATAAGCTCCAGCTGACGAGGAGTGAGAGCGACATTCTTATCGTTAAGAGCATCATGAACCATAAATCGATCTTTTCCTTTACTATCAGCATTGGAAAGCGCCTGATCGACACGATTTCCACCAATGCTAGCAGTCTTGATAACCTTTTTTCCATGAGCATCATATCCAATATGATCGTACTCATCATACCAATGGAGAGGTACCCTTCCGATACGATTTCCGGTCCCATCTTCATCTTCATCATCTGAGGAAAAATCATCCGTATGCATCCATTTTGCGCTCTTCTCGGTGTTGTTAGATTCTGACGGCTCGCTTTTTTGTCCGGAAATAGTCCTTTTTCCTGTGTTCCATTTCCTCGGTGCTGTTTCATAAGCATTTGACATATTGTCCTCCAGCTTCTCCATACCGTCGTCAGATTCATCATCTTCCTCCTGTTTTTCTAACAAATCTTCGTCCTCATCCGACGAACCCTGATCTTCGAATTCTTCTTCATCACTCTCATCTACGCCATCTTCGTAATAAGGAACATCCGAATCGTAGACGCTATCCTCATCATCAGTGTTCTCGTCTTCCGACCCAGAATCGACTGGAGAAAGACTCGGAGTCTCTTCCTCCTTCCTTGACTTCTTTTGCGCCATGATTGGTATGATTCCTATTCTCGATGAAAGAAAATGAATAAATCGTCAGTTCAACGAGAAGAAAATGTGAGGCAGAAAGAATGTGCTGTTGTTTCTTTAAATTGCTCGTCAAATTCATTCATTTCTCTGTTATCACTGGGCCCTGTTTTTGGTGATTGGTTGTTCGTTGAGATGATTGCGGTGGTCTGTCGTTGCCCGTTTGGGGGGAGGGGGGGGAGGCAACGAATCAATCATCATCCAAATCGAATCGTTAAGGGGGAAACGGGGACCGCAACCTCGTACCGGCCCGTTGGTACAAACCCTTTGCGGACGTGTGGAACGAATCTGAGACAAGTTCACAAAATGCACCAGTTTTTACTAATTGAAGCTACTAACATGAGAAGTAGCTAATCAATGTCATGGGAGGAGAATATGATCAGAAACAACAAATAAATGGAATAATGCTAGAATTAAGATTTTCAAGAACTTGAAAAACCAAGTAATCAACCAAGTAACAAGTGTTGGAAGATGGCTCACAAGTAGCACACATACTGTGACACATTGGTGGTGTGCATTATCCAGCCAAGAACCATCCAATGAGAATGCATAAATATGTTTCATGTAGCTCATATATGCTGCATCTCCAGGTGGATGCAAAATGAGGTTGGTGGATATGCAACCACAAAATATCACCACTGTGGTTCTCCAAAAGCTGATGGAACTGTTTCCAATAACCAATGTGGATGGAAACAACAGTCAAATCAATGATGAAAATGTGTGTGACAAAGCTGCAGTCAGCTGTGTTCCACTTCTTTGTGTACCAGGACCATCTACTAATCATTTAATTTCAATGATCTAACCAACAAGATATTAACCACGATTCATACAAGCTATTATATTTAACCTTTTGAACTAGTAGAAGAGGCACTATAGGGCCAGAACCATAGCTTTTGGTGTAAAGTATGCTTCTAGCTGCTCCAAGGGGCGGCACTTCCTCCCTCCAAGGAGTTTTGGTGGAACTGTGACCAATCTAGTTGAAGGCGTGACCATTGAGGACACCAATAAGAACAAGACCCTACTCAACCAGGCTTGGCTTGATATGGCAAGGCAAACTGCAAAAAAGTTTGAGCAGTACTATGAGGAGGAGCCCAAGAACCTTATTTCATCCATCAAGGGACAACTCAGTCCTGGAGTCAAGCAGCCACAGCTAAAGGCAAATAAGGAGTGGGTGGACATTGAGCATGAACAAGATACACTATACTGCTAGTACCACAATAGCAACACCATGGTGCATCCAATGATCAGTACAGAAAGAAAATAAACAAGTTTCTATCCTACAAGCAGGATCACAGGAAGGAAGTGGCGACATTTGTAGAAGGAACAAGAAAGATCAGGTTCAATGCCCTTAGTAAGTCAGCTGGAATAAAGGTATGGTCTGAGGAGATGATCAAGTACATCCTGAACAAACAGTTCAAAGGGGAAATCCTGTTGGAGTCTTATCATAGTATGGATAAGGAGGGACAGAAGCCAATTGATGAAGTAATGGAGCAGACACTCCTTTCAATTGTGATCACAAACAGATGGCACATAGAGGCACATAGAAACCTTGCTGGAGTTCATAAGGACAGCTACAGCGTGGGAACAGATGCCTACTCATCCACACTGCCTAAGGCTCTTGAGCTGCTGAATCAATACAGAGTTGTCAGCATGCCCAAGTCAAATTGATCAATGGTAGGCCTGCTGGTAAACAGGATAGCAACAACACCTGCAAAGATAAAGCTGGTGGGGTTAAAAAAGAGTTGGAAGGAACAGTGTTTGTGACCAAAGGAACACCCAAGAAAGAGGGCAGACAAGTCACCATTCAAGAAGCAACTCAAGTCTTCATGGACACTGTCAAGGAAGGGGACATCACTGATGAAATGTTCTTCATCCAAAGGAGCAAACTTATAGTGCGCAAGGATGGTGCTGAATTTAAATCTGAGGAGACAAGCACATTTCTGTCCCTAATTTACATGAGTGTCAACAAATTTGACAGCTACTGTGACATGCTAGAGTTCAGTGAACAGAAGTGCAGGAGTGAGCACAAACAAGCAAAAAGACCCTCCCCATAGAAACAGACAGGATACGATACCAGATCCCCCAGGTGAGTTTGAAGAAGTCCTGACATACCACCAGAGCAAACCAACAGAAGCCACAGTGCACTACCACAGTAAGACAATGGAATCATTTCAGTTTGCACAACCCAATGGCAGAATGAAATGAAACTCGATACTGTTGGACAGCCAGACAAAATTCAACTGTATATGCAACCCATGGCTCCTATGGAACATAGGAGTCCACCCCAAAGGGGACCAGTGGATTTGGACCCACTAAAATGCTGGGAGTGTTTTGATAGACAAGGTTGGAGACTTCTTCCCCTAATTTGGTACGCTGTGGTATCATGAAGGAGGGTTGGCAAATGTGCTGTCCCTAGGACTTGTCTCCAATCACTACAGGGTAATATTGGATACCTCAATTACGCAGTCCTTCTTTGTCCATAAGCCTGATGGGACCACAGGACAATTCAACAGGACACCATATGGACTGTAGTATGCATGTGACCTCATGGACTTGAGTGGGGTGATACTGACAGTGACCACAGTAAAAGGACAGAAGCACTTTTATTCCAATTTAGACCTCAAGCAAGCAAAGACAGCAAGGAAGCTACAGGACAAACTTGGGTTCCCAAGCCTGAATGCTTTCCTGCACATGATTGGCAACAACATCATCATGAACTGCCCAGTCAAGAGGCAGGATCTTCTGATGGCAAAGGAAATTTATGGGGTGAACACCAACATCATAAAAGGAAAGACTGTCCAAAGAAGAGTAGAGCACACTTGGGAGGACATTGAGGCAGTGCTGATTGCCATAATTTAGCACTATTGCAATATCATGCTCAGAATATATGTCTACACTGTCAATAAAATAAAGTTATTTAACTTGATATCCAAACACCTCTTTTAGAACAAGTGAAACCATCCCTGACTCAAATCAGGATACAATATTGGGGTGTGTGAAGTCCATCATTGGATTCTACACAGCTCAAGGCTTCACCATGGTGCAACTGTTTGAAGACAACAACTTAAACTGTCTCAAGGATCTGCTCCTGGAGCTGACCTCACCTGTGCAGTTCCAAGAGGCTACCCCAGATACCCATATGCCATCCATTGAATGGGACAACAGAGCAAGCAAAGAAAGGGTTTGATGCACCTTTGTGTTGATTCCTTTAATGGCAATGCTGCCATGAATGATTATTGAGCTGGTGAATGTACTAGTTGACTACTACTACTAGTTAAATTTCTGGTACAATTCCAGTGGAGTGTTGTCAATAATCTCCCCTTGGTAGCTCCTCATTGGGGCTTGCCTGGATGCTCAGAAGCACCACTGTTGATTTTAATTTGGGGATTACTATAAGGAAAGTACTAGTGATAACTCTATGGACCCTGTGTTCAGGATGCCATACATCTACAACCCAATAGGGATGCGGAAAGGTGCATTGTTCCTCTTCAATCTTGCCACTGAAAGGCACATACACAGGAAGACAGCAACTCCAGCACATATGGCTTACACTGTAATTGCTTGTGTCAAGAAAATTGCTCAGAAACAGAACTCACCAAAAGGCCTGACATATATAGATGACAATGGCCACACTACAATATTGGATCTGGACACAGATGCACTGGAATCTAATGAGGACGCCTAGCATCAGTCTTTTGTTCCATCTGGGGACAACACCCCAATCACCTCAGACCTCTCAGGAGTGGTCAATACCAACAAAGAAATCTCTACAGCATTGGCTGGTGGAGAGGACTCCATGGTCAGTTCCCCCAACAGTGACAATAGGTTTAATGGGGATAGCTCAAATAATGATACTGAGGAGTGTCCTGTGGAGGATGCTACCACTACAAACGTGATCAGTAGGAATGGGCCTAAGACTATGTGTAACAGTACTCACCAACACAGTAATCCATGCAGTCCCACAACTTTTAGAGAAAACGTGGACGGCACACTTGGCAAATGACTGAATGAACATGATTCTGATGAGCCTAACATCCCCAATGACCTGTCAGACTCCMAAGACTACAACAGAGGCATACATGATTTTGATGAACCCAGCAAGCTGGAGGACCCTGACATATGCATCCAAGACAATAAGACGCTGGATAATGTGGAAGCAGAGAGCAGCAGTAGTCATAACAATAACAGTACCTGTAGTAGCAATACAATTCACAATAATAACAATGTTGGGGAACATGGAAACAGAGCTAATGAAGCCAGCATTGCTAACCCAGGTGAGGATGATAATGTCTTACCCCATCCAGGCAACAAAGAGGAGCCCACTGGGAGATGAGGTCTTCAACCACAGGTAGTAAGAAGAACACACATAGAGTTTGGAAGCAGTGAGGGGTTTGCCCCAACTATTCATCACATGATGAGTGCATTGACCACACACCACAAGTGTTTCTTCACAGCAGGTTTTGGAGAAGCAATGAACAAAGTACAGAGGAAGTAGAACAACCAATACATGTTTATGGTTACTGCATAGCCAAATACAACAGCATTGATGCCTCTCTGGTAACAAAGCAGTATGGCGTGAAAGTAAGCCTGAAGAGATTTGGAACCTCAGAAGTGGAGGTGGTCCTGAAGGAGTTGAGGCAGTTGCACAACTGCAAGGTGGTCAGGCTGGAACACATCAGGGGCATGACCAAGAAGGAAGCCCTGTCATATCTTGTTAATATGTTTCTGACAAAAAGAAAAATGTGCGGAACAAGTAACAAAGGATATGGCAGTGCTGATGGGCAGTCCCAAAGGGAGTTTATATCCAAGGAAGACTCCTATTCTCCCACTGTATTGCTACCTGCCCTCATTTCTTCCTGCCTCATCAATGCAATTAAGGGGCGCAATGTGGCCACAGCAGACATCCCCCACATGTTCAACCAGACAGGGGTCAGACTAACTTTAGGAGGTGTGTGCAAAGACACATCAAAACTTGTCATATTCCATCCTTGGCAGGAATGAGAAAAATTTGAGCTCAAGGATTTTTTAATTTCCAATTTCCTGGATAATACTAGTAAAACTATCCTACCTTTAAGCAGTTACAACTTTATCAAAAACACTATTATTTTAATTTTTCAGCACTGTACTGCTGCGTATGCCAGTTTTTAATGAGGATTCTGAATCTGGCAATATTTTCAGTAGCAAATGGAATGTTACTGTACCTTTTTATATTTTAAAAATCCACATGAAAATTATTAGTAGTACTACTATTAGTACTACCACTTGTAGTAGGTGGAAGAGGGCATTAGTACTAGACTAGTAGTAGGAGTAGTACTAGTACTAGTAATGGTGGTGGTAGTACTACAAATTTTGACACAGCGGCAGTATGCTAACAACACTGTACTAGTGTAAACAATACATAGTAATTTACTTGATCTGCTGCTAGTAGTGTAGTAGTGGAGGAAGAACAGGTAGTAGTAGTAGTATTAGGAGATGGTGTGAATTTGGATTAGTCATACTGCTGCAGCAACAACTATTCCTACTATAATACCACTACTACTAGTAGCAATGTTATAGTTCTAGTGCAAGACCAGACCTACAGACTGCAGTGGCTTTCCTCTGCACTAGGATGGCGGACCCTGGGAATGACAGCTGGAAGAAGCTGAAGCAAGCCATGGAACATCTCAGGTCAACAGTTTTCCTCCCCACTCCTTGTCCTGGGATGGGATGGGATGGGATGGATCTGGACAAGCAAACTTGTATGCATACGCCTCGTTCGCAGTGCACACTGATATGAAAAGCCATCCTCGTGTCACCACCAGAGTTCTTTTCACTCATTGGCATTTGTTGGAAGCCTCGAACTTGTACACAGAAGTTCCTTTGCTGACAAAGCACTCAACGCAAACGATACGGCATTTCGAGCCGCATTCCGCTATGCACCCGCTGCAATCATCAAAGGTCTTGGGACATAGTGAAGATTCAAATTGGTATGACTGTTACGATAAAAATCCAAACGAAAAAAGTGATGCAAAACTCTTCGTAAGAATTTTTTTCCCCAAAAAAAGATGTTTCGCCGTTATGACTCGTATGGTTTCAATGGGAGAAGCACAAAGACGTTCCGATCTCGGGAGAGATCATAAAACCAGCCTTAAGGACGACGAAATAAAGTGCCGTAACGATGCGCTCCGGCAAAACGCTAGAGGGTGCATCAAACACGAAATACTCTCCCAGAGTTGTCTGGACACATGCATCATAGAAAAAAAGTATTGCTACTTCTTTGACAGCACATGCAATGAAAAAATGGGTATACATTCACTTATTCCATCCACCGGGCCAGAGGAAATTCAAATAGAAATCTTTTGACAGCAACGTTTGGACTTGATAGGATCAATCAAAACTTACAATTTTAAGGACTGCGATACGGTAGGCACTCTGTAACGCAAGTTTATTTAAAGATGAACCTGATTCTCCGTCGGAGAAATAATTTTGTGTTCACTCCCTCCACGCAATCACACACACTTGCTCTGCCCTTTGCTAGACGACATGCCTCATGAACGAATTTCGTCTGGAAGGTTGTTGGGAAGGTAACAATATGTTTGTTGATTTCCAAACAATAGCGTACTAATCCGTGTAGTAGGGACGAAAAATCACTGTGTGCGTTGACGATTTTCGAACACATTTTAAATGGATGGTGTCAAAAAATACCATTACTCGTACCTTGTACGGTACTCGTACTTTACTTTCTTGTCGTAAGGGAGAGCTAAGTGTCGTACTTTACTCGTACTCATGGCCGTTCGAATGAACGAACACATGGTATGAGTAACGAGTATGAGTACCTGTTACCTGGTACGTACCATACGGGTAGGATGTAGCATGTAGGATGTAGTGTGTACCGTAGTGTGTAGGATATGAGCCAGGCCCTCCGTCCGGAACCCACGCACCCATCCCCCTTTTTCATTCCTCCATTACTCGTCCCGTGTCCCTAAAATTATTTCCAGTCATGCACCAATGATATTCCAGTCATGCAACAAAAGAGCCCGTAGAGAGCAGAGAGAAAGAGAAATTCCGACCTTACGTACGAGTACCAGGTATTATCACTACTAGCACGAGAAACGGTACCGGCACGGTTACGGTCGTTGCGCACAGAGACCAGACATCAATCTCGAAAATAAAAATATGTTGTCAAAGCAGTACCTGGTACGGTAGTACTGCTAGTTCTTTACGATAGGAGTATAGTACCTCTCCGGTACGTAGTATCTGTTGCCGCTTTTTCTGCTTTGAAATGCTAGCTCTACCGTGGTATCAGCACTAGTACGAGTAATTCTAACAACATAATTGAGCCACTCGCGGTCAATGGAGTACGACGAACATCGGGGTTTGGTGTTACGACTCTTGAGAGCAATTAACACAGTAGATGTTTCTTCCCGCATAATCACAATTTTCCCGAAGCGTGATACAACACMGATGCAGAATTTACGTTTCCATGTCGATTATTCGTCAAAATAAGAATCCCCGATCTTGTGTATCAGGATCATACTACGATGAACAGAATCAAGATGATATGGTAGATGAAATTATTGAGACCTTGTCAAATGTACTGGAATTTTCATGCATCATAGTACGGAGTAGTGAGACAAATGATGGGTCCAGTGATTACTTTAATGACGATCCTTGGGCGAGACTCTCGCGATCTTTGAAAGGTTTGATTGTTTCGTTTGGGAAACTTCAAAAACTGGTGTCGTCCGACGACACGGCCGGCACAGACATCAAAGTCACGGCATCCACTTTGACAAACCAGCTGCTGTTAGATATCGAAAATACGATACACCAAATAAGAGGAAATATTGAATCCGTATCAGCAATGCTAACAAAGGGTGTCTCGACCCAGCTGGCCACGTGCCGAAAGCTGGAGTCCATCGGTTCCAGGAACACAAGCTTGGCATTGCCAACACAGCTCATTCCGATGGGAAAAGCTCTTGCGAGCGCGATTCATCGACAAAAAGCAGTGTGGATACAAAGCCAGCAGATCATTGAAGATTTTGTTGATCGCATCTACACCAATCAATACAACCCTGTAGAGATTATCGACAATCTTCAAATTGTGTACAAGAGAGTAAACCGAAGGTGTATTGATCCCGACTCATCTCCCTGGAAAGAAGCATTGAGTTTACTAGAATGCGTTGCATCCAGTGAGACAGCGCAAATTTTTTCAGACACAACGAAAGCAACGACGATGGATTCGCATATTGGCTGTCGAAATGCAGTGATTGTGAATGCCCCGGTTCGAAAACCGATGTGGTTGCCACCTTCACTACGACATTTTTCCTCGTTGAACTGCGCTTCTTCGCAACTACAAAGCATCGTAAATATATTTTTTCATGAGAGCCAGGAAAATAATCACGAATGCGCAAACACCCTGTCGATCCTAGTTGTTGGGTCGCAGGGATCTGGCAAGACGCATCTATTGGACAATATTGCAAAGCAGTGCAGTCTTGCAAGCGTGGATATTGACATCATCCATCCGATGCTGCCCTTTGACGCTATTGGAAACACTGTCGGTGCTGCAGAAGATAACCTCATATCTATGATTTGCTATGCAAAGACGCAAGAGAGAAACTGTATATTGCTGCTCGATGACATTGACAGCATCTGTGGAAAAATGGAAGAATCGTCCATGATGAATGGAGGCATACCCGGAGGACAGCGAGAACCTCACCAAACGGCTCGATTGCGTAACTTGTTTCTCTCGCTCCTGGATATGATACAAATAGGACATTACGGCCATTCCAAGGGTCGAATGGTTCTGATTTGCTCCGCGAAAGAAGAGTTTGGGCAAGATATCGATAGATTCGACAAAATCCTACACCTGTTGCACCCGGACAAGGAAGAGAGGAAACAGATCATTTCCGACTATGCCGGTGGCAACAATTTCGTCGACAACTTGGTAGATTGCACCGCGGGCTTTTCTCGGGCCGAAATCTCCCACCACTGTCGACAAGCACTGTCGGCCTTGCACGCCAGAGGCCTCGAAGACTCCGAGACGAGCGACTTTGCAACCTACCTGAAGGAAAAACTCCAGTCGTCTACACCGGAATCGCTGAAGACCGGCACGAACGCCGACTTTGTAGACATGAGGGTGTTTTCGGCCCGGGACCTGCGGAAGCTCTACCCCATCCGGGATGCTAAACGTCCCGACGCCGACCTGCCCCTCTTCGGGGAGGGCGCCTGGGCCGCGTGGGAAGAGCTCCGGCGCCTCATCGTCCTGCCGGTGTGCAGGGGCGACGCGCTGGACAATATTCTGTACCACCGCGGCGGCAGATCAAGCAAGAAGACCTTCGTGGGCGGCGTGCTCCTCGCGGCACCGCCAGGAACCGGAAAGTCGACGCTCGCCTTCTTTGCCGCTGCGGTGGCGGCGTCTATCAACCCCTCCATAAAGCTGATCGACGTGAGCTGTACGTCGCTCGTCCACAAGGAGGTCGGGGGCTCCGAGAAGGCCCTCCACCGCCTCTTTCGGAGCGCCCGGTCGGCGACGCCCTGCATCGTGGTGATGGACGGCATCGAAACCATCGCCGCCGTCCGGGGGAACGACAACACTACAGAGGGAACCATGGACCGGATTCTGTCGACGCTGCTGACAGAGCTGGACGGTGCCGATGGCGAGGCACGCAGCGGCGGTCGTTCCACCGGTGGCGGCATGGCCATCATTGCCACCACACATGACCCGCAGTGGATCGATCCGGCGCTCCGCCGCCCCGGCCGGCTGGAACGGACCGTCTGGCTGCAAAATCCCGATGCGGAGGGACGGAAGCGCATCGTCCTGAACGAGCTCGGTAACGCGGCGTACGAGCCCGACGAGGCACACCCTGAGCTGGAGACTCTGGAAAAGCTGGCGGTGAGGGTGGCCCTCGAAACGGAGGGACACACCGGGGCGGAGGTTGTTGCGATCTGCAACGAAGCCAAGCTGTCTGCATTCAACGAGTTTTTCCGGGGCGGCGGCGAAAAACGGGATTTCGTTACCCCCCGGCTAGTGCTCGAAGCTGCTAGAAATCAACGAGCCAACAGCTGAGGTTGGTGTTGAGAGAGATCCTGTCTCGGATTCGGACATTTTGCAGGGGAGAGAAAGAATGCGAAGCATGACCATATATGAAGACTTTTCCTATCTTGTGATCGTCACCCGCTGGTAAAATATATTCCATATCGTTGTTTTCGATTTCCTTACAAGTTATTGAATAGTCAATTTAATTAGAATTAGTAGTATTGTTAGCAGTAGCATTAGCATTGACACACGGCACGGTTCGTCTCGGCTGCCGCTATTGACCGGTCGAAGTGGTTCCAGATGTGGTGGCGAACGAACCAGTTGGTCAGCGAGTGTTCCGGCGTTCCGGCACAGAGCGTTTTGATGGTCCCGAACCGGTGCTTCCAAAAGTCGTTCGTGTCCACTGCCCGGCCGACGCTGGACAACGGACCGAGCCCGCAGCCAGCACCAGAGCTGGCATCTGTTTCGTCGGCCCGCTTGAAGTACACGCAGTTGTCAGACTCCAGGTGGCGCTCCAGTTCCCTTAGGTTGCGCCGCTTTGCCCACTGGATGTTGTGCGTCGAGTCCGTAAACGCAGTGGCACGGATGCGTGGCAGGTAGCAGTGAGACTTGTCCAAGAGGTAGCGCACGAACTGAGACCCCGACTGCGAATGGGAAAGCACGAGCAGGTTTCTGGGGGTCGGACCCCCACAGCGCATTCCCCCTTGCTCCCAGCGCCGGAAGACGCGCTCCATGGACTTTTCAAAGGTCGCCATGCCCAACTTATCGCCGCGCGCGTTTGGGTCGAGGACCACCAGGTTGATATTGCGCGTGTAGGCCTGGCGGACAAAGGGCACCGCCGTGCTGCACTCCAGCCCGGAGGTCAGGAGGTGCTGCCGCGAAAACACGCCGGCCCGTACCCGCCCGTTTCCCGTCGCCACCAAGAGCGTTGGCTCCTCGTCGATCCTGGATTCGTCCTTCACCAACCGGGTGCTGACGAGAACTCTTATTGGTTGGGTGTTCGATGATGGTGGTGGCGGTGGCTGGCTTCCGTCGCTACGGGTTTCTTCCGGTACGGTGACCCATTCCAGCTGGGCATCCCGCATCATGACCTCTTGGGCATATTCCATGGCGAGGCGACAAACAATATCGTACATGGGTCCGTCCGCGATGAATTCTTTCCGGTTTTCCGCGGTGATCATGGTGTTTGATTCCCTATGGAACAATCTAGACATCGTTTCGTGGTTGTGAGAACGACACCTGCAGTGTCTTGCGCTCGTTCTCGATCGGTAATGTTGTCGCTGTTGACTACGAGTACCGATTCCGGTGTCAGCGGCATGGGGATTCTCTTCTTTTTTTTCTTCCTCGACACCGGAATGCGGGCGTGCGGGGCACTCGCAGGCGTCAAAAACTTCCGCGTGCATCGGGGTCGTTGCCTTCCTCGTCCTTTGTGTTGCGTTCGTCGATAGTGCCACCGGGCGGTACTCCAGGCCACCGGCGGCCAGGCCCTCCCCTCCCTTCAGCGGGCGCAGAATCTGGAGCAGCAGGGCCCTCTTGAATCGGTCTTCTTCCCTCGTCTTGCACCCCCACAGCAAGACGTCGCTCGATGCCGAACCCGGGATCTGCCTGTCGTGGTTTTGGCAGGTTACCTTCGACGGCACCGGAGTCGTGGATGGGTGGTTGCCCATGGTTTGCTTCGCTCCGCGGCGTCTCGACCGCCCGGGTGAATGCCTCGCTACGAATTCTCTGCCGCGTTCGATCGCCGTGTCTTTTTTCTTTTTCTTTGGCAATGCCGCCGTACTAGCAGCCAAACAAATCTTGGTGTTGATGTTGGTGTTGGTGTTGGTGTTGGCGATTGGCGGCAACGGCCTGTTCTGTTGTGGGATGTCCGTGGAAGGTGAAAGACAATACTGGTATGTGTTCCTTGTTCGGTGCCTTCCGGGGAGGACGAGGAAGGAATGGCTCCTTAAGACCCTATCGTACGGTACGGTACCGCAATGGCCGGTACGGCGGATTTTGATTCGAGGGTCGCATGTCACACCGAAACCATGTCAGGAAAATGAGACATGCCTGACGGTTCTCTTTCGCAGAACATCGAGGAAGCAGTCACGAAAAAAGTTGGCGTTAAAAAAATTATGGCGACGTCCACGATCGACTGGGATTTACAAGTACGAGTACACTCGTACCATACTTACGTACCGTACCGTACATGGGTTGGTAACGATTGCTCGATGCTCTACCGGTATGGTCTCGTTTGTGAATCGCGGCAGTCGCATTGTATTGGGGGCATGATTCAAAATGCGGCGGGAGTGTTTTCGCCCCCTTTTATCCTCCCAGATAAAACCTTACGTAACGATTCGTACCTCACCATTCATTTCTCTTTCTGTCGTGCACAAAAAGGCATCGATTTTGACGCCGTCGGACCAAAAAACTCGGGAATCGTATCGTAAAATCGTAAATTCCAGGGGGACGAATTACGTACCGTATCGTACACTACTTACAGTACGAGTAACATACCGTACTGTGCCCGTTCGATACTCTACCAATTAGTCGTTGTGTTTCGAACCGCACGCCAGAGCAAAGTAAAGGAAAGCAAAGCACTGCACTGCAACACAGCACCCATTCCTTCACCTCCGGACCAAGAAGGCTCTTTTTTGTATTTCTACGGCACACCACACCGACTCCTCGACAAAATGGCGGACGATCTCGACGATATCTTCGGTGCTATCGACGGCGACGGCGACGACGACGCCGTGGAATCCGGGGCCGAGGAGCCGATGGAAGACGATTCCGACGACGGCGGAGACTCGATGGCGGAGCCGGAAGAGGGCGGGGAAGACGAAGGCGAATCAAAGGACGGCGGTGAAAGCGCGGGGGCGAAACCCCCAAAGCCACCCACGTCGGCAGAGACGGCCAAGCTCTACAACAGCATCATGCACGCGCCGACGACGTCTCACCTGAGGGAGACGCAGCAAAAGGAGGCCTCGGAGCTCCTGCGGCCGACGGAGGCCGTCCAGAAACAAAAGGAGCAAGAGGCCGAGCAGCACGCGGCTAGCAACGCCGTCAACACGGGAACCTCCCACGACAAGTCCGTCCGGTCCTACTCGGCCTACCCCAAAAACCTGCCCGAGGGAATGGAGCTCCCCAAGCCCAAAAAGAGCGACAAGCCCGCCAAGGTGTACCCCTTCAAGCTAGATCCTTTCCAGGCCCAGGCGGTGGAGTACATCGAAAAGGAGGAATCGGTCCTGGTGGCCGCCCACACCTCCGCGGGGAAGACCGCCGTGGCGGAATACGCCATTGCGAAGTCGCTGAACAACGGGCAGCGCGTCGTGTACACCAGCCCCATCAAGGCGCTGAGCAACCAGAAATTCCGGGAGCTGCAGGAAGAGTGAGTCGGTCGCGCGTTCCTCAGTACACCAATCGCATGGGGCGTGGGTTTTTCGTTTTCCATTCCTTTTAGAAAAGAATTGTGCCGTGCGGCATCGCCGGTGTCGTCCCGAAAACTCGAATTTTGTTCTAATTGTTCCCGTAAACTCTGTTCGTTCATCATTTTCATCCAGGTTCGGCGATGTGGGGCTAATGACAGGAGATATCACAATCAGTACGTATCCATCTCATAAGACGGATCATCTTGGAATAGCTTTTGTTGTTGTCCATACCAGTTGCTTGCATTTTAACAGCGACGATGCATTGCTCACAATTACTTTGCCTTTTTCGAACCGACAAAAACCGTAGATCCCACCGCCACGTGTCTTGTGATGACTACGGAGATTCTTCGATCCATGCTCTATCGAGGTTCCGAGCTCATGAGAGAAGTAGCATGGGTCATCTATGATGAAGTGCATTACATGCGAGATTCGGAGCGTGGAGTGGTCTGGGAAGAGTCCATCATCTTGTAAGTATGCAGCGTGATTTCGAAGAATCAACTTCCAAAAAATCTTCCAAGGGACAATAGATCGCTGCTCACCCATATTTGTTTGTCCATGTGAATAATGTTTCTCGACCCAAGACTCCCGCACAGGGTCCGGTTTGTGTTTTTGTCCGCCACGATTCCCAATGCGGCGCAATTTGCCGATTGGATTTGCGAAATCCACCACCAGCCCTGCCACGTTCTGTACACCAATTACCGTCCGACCCCTTTGCAGCACTACATTTTCCCGCAGGATGGAGACGGCCTGCACCTGGTGGTAGACGAGAGGGGAAAGTTTCGAGAAGCAAATTTTCAGAAGGCAATGGCCTCGCTTCAATCGGCCAGTGTGGACGTTGCGGGGGCCGACGCCCTCTTAAGTTCTGGAAACGCCAAGAAACGAAAGCGATCGGCCGGTGGGAAGAAGGGAGGAGACCAGATGACAGGCTTGCAGCGAATCATCAAGCTGATCATGGCCCGCAACCTGAATCCGGTCATCATCTTTTCGTTCTCCAAGAAAGACTGCGAGCGGTTCGCGCTGGCTCTGAACAGGGAAGACTACACCGACGACGTAGAAAAAGACCTCATCAACCAGGTGTACACCAATGCCATCGACTCGCTCGGAGAGGACGACCAAAAACTCCCCCAGGTACTGGCCTTGCTCCCGCTGTTGAAGCGGGGCATCGGTGTGCACCACGGAGGATTGTTGCCGATTCTGAAAGAAGTAGTGGAGATCTTGTTCGCGGAAGGGCTGATCAAGACTCTCTTTGCGACCGAAACCTTTGCTATTGGCATCAACATGCCCGCAAAGACTGTGGTGTTTACCAACACGAGAAAGTTCGATGGTCTCGATTTCCGTTGGGTGACTTCTGGTCAGTAACTACGATATCTCCCTTAACCACCGCTTTTTTTCGGACGATGAAAAACAATAAAACCAATACTAACGGTTGGTTCTCTCTCTCATTATCTCTCTTATTCGTTATAGGCGAGTACATTCAAATGTCTGGACGTGCTGGTAGAAGAGGAAAGGATGACAGGGGTTTGGTCATCCAAATGCTGGATGAGAAGATGGAGCCCGCCATCTGTAAGGGTATACTGTACGGGTGAGTACGATGCAGTTCTAAAGAGTGTAGATATAGAAGGTTGACCTGCTGAACCAAGATGATTGCAACGTTGCTGTCGAGATCTCCGACTTACACCAGTGCGCTGTTTTATGTGCTTTCTCCAGTGATCCGGATCCACTGAATTCGAGCTATCGAATTTCCTACAATATGCTCTTGAATCTAATGAGGGTAGAAGATGTCGAACCCGAATATCTATTGCGCGCATCTTTCCACCAGTTCCAGCGCGAAAAGGAAGCCCCAGCACTCTTAGCTCAGGCAGACGATTTCATGACGCAGGCGGAAAATGTAGATCTTGGATCGGAAGAAGAATCTGCGTTGGCCAAGGAGTACTACAAGATGGATCAACAGCTACTACTGACTAAAAGAAAGGTGGCGAGCATAGCACAGAAACCGGAATATATTGTCAAATTTCTCCAGGTGGCAGGAAGATTCCTTGACGTCAGCATTGATGGAGAACAATATGGATGGGGTGTACTGACCTCGTTCAAGAAACGAGGCGGTGGATCTGCAGGGGAAGCTGGCAAACTCGCATCCTTGTCCAATCGGCCAACGTATACCATTGAGGTCCTTCTTCGATGCGTGGATCGTCATTTTGATTCGGTAGATGAGAAGGCTATGAAAGAGGATCGCTCAAATGCCACATTGCTGTGGAGAGGCACGTCAAAAAGTTGCCGACCACCAAAGCCCGGAGACGACGAGAAACTCATTTCTATGAGAGTTTTCACCATTGGGTTGGAACATATTGACAGAGTTTCCGCGGTTCGAATATTTACTCCGACCGCGATTCAATCTCCCGAGGCTCGAAAGAAAGTATCCATGGCCGTGAAAGAGGTCAAGAAACGTTTTCCCGATGGCATCCCATTGTTGGATCCTATCAAAGATCTGAAGATAAAAGACTCGAACTTCACAACGCTAATGGAGCGAGCAGACGCCCTTAGCAAGAGACTCGCAGCGCATAAATTGACTACCGAGTTTCCCGAAGAAACTCGAGTCCGTTTGATAAAGGCGTACGAGGACCGGATGGATCTGAAAGAGCGATCCCGGGTGCTACGACAAGAAGCGAAAAGCTTTCAAACCATGGCAATGAAGGATGACTTGAAAAAGATGAAACGCGTCCTGAAGAAACTCGGCCACGTGGATGCCAACGGCGTCATTCAAACGAAAGGAAGGACGGCTTGTGAAATCAATACAGCGGACGAACTAGTCGTGACGGAACTAATCTTTACTGGAGTTTTCAAAACACTTACGGTCGAGCAATGCGTTGCACTTCTATCTGCAATGACATTCGGTGAACCTATGAAAGACGACGAAGCTACACAAGGAATGAAGAGTTTTTTGCTAAATCCATTTTACAAGTTGCAAGAGGTAGCCAAAACCGTGGTACAGATGCAGATCTCGTGCAACCTGGATGTCGACGAGGACGAATTCTTGAACAAGTTCAACCCTGCGATGTAAGTTGTTACCGGAAAGAAACGAATGCACTATCGCTTGTTTTTCACCAGAATGCAATGATTACAAAATTTCTTGTTGCGTCGGCGAATCTTCTTGAGCCGCGTTGCACTGCAACGGAGCTCGTCGTTTTGCGTCACGGGGCAACCTTAAATACATTGAAGAATTTGAAATGCGACCATACTCTCTGAGCGCTCTGGTGTTGTACGCATATTCTATGCTTGCATGTTTTGCTTCCAATACTCTCGCAAACTCACTAGCCCGTTGTTCTTTCCCAAACGAATGATTGCATATCTGTAGGATGGAAGCCGTGTTCCAGTGGTGCAAGGGGGTGAAGTTTTTGGATGTGCAAAAACTGACGGGTTCGTTCGAAGGGACCACAATCCGCACACTCCGCCGGTTGGAAGAGCTGGTTCGCCAAATTTGCACCGCCGCCAAAGCAATAGGCGACCACGAACTGGAAGCCAAGTTTGAAGAAGGTAGCAAGCTACTGAAACGGGACATTGTCTTTTGCAGCTCTCTTTATTTGTAAAGTAATACAATGCTACTTAATATGCATCTCGTCTCTCTCCCCCCCCCCCGTCCATTGCATTATTTGTAGAATTTACACCTTGCAGTCGACACACCATGGGCAGTCAGCAGTTGTGCCGTTCTCGTGACACACGCAACAACAGCTAGAAAAAAAAAGCAGACAAAAAGGAAAACATAAGAAGGCAAATGTGAATCCCCCGCAACGAACGAAACAGAGAAGGAACCAGTCCAGAAACGAAGGACAGCATCGAACAATCCACCTACCCCAGCTCTTGCGGTTCCGTCCACCCGGAGTCTGGAAGAACCTCCGCTTCGGTGTCGTCGCCGGCGTCGCCGCCACTCCCAGATGCGTCCCGCCGCTTCCGCACCGCGTCCTGTGCCGTTTCGTCGAGCCGGTAGCCCTCGTAGTCGACCGCGCGGCCCTCCGCCCGGCAACCCTCCAGCCAGCCCACCGAGACGAGGGGCTTCTTCTTCTTTAGTGCCTTGCGCACCCGCTGCGTGGCCTGCCTCACCGCTGCCTCGGTGCAAACAAGGAGGTCGACCCGTTTGCACACGAGGTCGACGACGTCGGCCCCCAGGTTTCGGCAGGACCGGCACACGTCGTTGTAGGACATCGGGGGAGAAGCTGTAGGAGCGCTCTTGCCGTTGCCAGTCCCGCCCAGGGGCCCGTCCTTCGCCTTGGCTACGGCGGCGCTGTCCTTTAGGACGGAGACCGAGAGCACCAAGCCGGCGAGCGGTTTCCCGGGGTCGTTGCCCCGGGAGGTTTTTTGTCGTTTTTTGCGATTCCGTCGGCGTGTCGACGAGGTGAGCTTCGGGGCTTGCTCGACGTTCTTCTTGTCGTTGCCGTTGTCGTTGTCGTTGCCATTGTCGTTGTCGTCTTCGCGGTCCTTCGAAGAACGCTTCCGGGATTTTCGGTTTGTGGTCACGGAATTACTCCTGCCGTCGTTTGTCGTCTTCGTCGTAGTTGCCGTAGCCATGATTGCAGTGGGTCAATACTGATGTGTTTTAGCACCGGTAGATCTTGGGCAATGATGTTTGACTATCACTCTAGCGTCTTGTCTTTCTTGCCTATATGGTGGTGAAGAATAGTCGTCATCATCAAAGATGTGATCTCACGGTTGTTAGTACTGTAGCGTGCAGTACCCAAGTACTGTACTACAGTACGAATACGAAGGTATGCTATGCACGACAAACGACAAGCCTGTTTCAAAAAGGTTTTCTATTTTTTCCGAGTTTGGATGGCGTCCCGTTGACCGGGACTAAATTCAAAATCTAGTCATGATCCATGATCACACTGCGGTACGAGTACCGCACGTACGTACGTATGTACGGAAATAGGTACTTGTACTCTGTACTACAGTTTCCCAGTCACGACTACGTACTAGTCGTGACACTCGTCCGTCGAGACACGAACGGCAAAATGCAAAATGTACCGCAGTGCAAAATGGGAACGGATGTGAAGGTTGGTCTGGAGTCCATCCATCTCGGGTGTTTCGGCTCGGCCGTGGCTTTGCCTCGCGGAAAGGAAAGGAGCGGCAACTACCGCTGCATCGGATGGCATGACATCGCATTGCACGGCATCGCGTTGCATCGAGCTGCGTGGCGTCACCACCCCAGGGTCCTCATCCACTCGGCAAAGGAGGGATCCCGGCCCGTGGCGGCCCAGATGTCGCTCGGCCTGTGGCCCCCGTCGTCGGGGGAACCCGCCCTCTCCCGATCGGCCTCCCCCAGGCGGCCCGCCATCCACTCAACGACGTGCTTGTTGCCCCGGTGGGCCGCCTTGTGGAGGGCCGTGTGGCCCTGGCCCTGCTTCTCGCAAAAAGAGACCCCGCAACGGTCCGAGAGGTAGGTGCAGAGGGCCCGGACGGAGTCCTCCGAGTCCGAGAGGGTCATGGCCGCCCAGTGAGCGCAGGTGCAGCCCCAGTCGTTCCGGGCCAGGGGGTCGGCACCGTGCTTCTCGACGAGAAAGGCGACGGCCTCGGGGTGTCCCCCGTAACAGGCGAGATGCAGCGGGGTGGTCCCCTCCCCCGACCGCTCGTCGACGGCGTGGAGCGGCCGGTGGCCGCCGCCGCCGTTACCGGGGGCGGGTCCTCCTCCAGCGGCCGCCGGCCCGAGGAGGTACGAGAGGCAGGGGACGTGGCCGTTGCGTGCCGCGTAGTGCAGGCAGGTTTTCCCGTCCCGGCGGCGGCGGGCCCGGTCCGGGGACGGATCGGCCGCTCCCAGGCCCTCCCGGAGGTCGTAGAGGTAGCGGAGGCAGGATAGGTGTCCCCCGCCGGCGGCCCAATGGTCGGCCGTCGAGTTGTGCCGGTCCCGCGTCCGGAGGAGCGACCGGAGGTGGCCGTCCCCTGAGCCCCCATTTCCCCCACCATTTCCCGGGATTTCCCTTCCTCCTTCGCCGGGGCCAATCGGTTCGATCGTTTCGTCCCTCTCTCGTGCCACGCGGACCAGAGCCTTCAGCCCCGCCAGGTCTCCGCGGGAGGCCGCCGCAAGAAAGGGGGGCAGGCTGTCCCTGTAGGACACCACCGCCTTTCCCGTTTTGTCCGTCCCCTTCGGTGGCTGGCCCGCGGCCGGCCCGCTTTCTCCTTGGGCCGCCCCCTCCCGTGCCTCGATGGCTCGCAGGAGTTCCACAATCCTCGCGGCCCAGGCTCGTTTCTCTTCCTCCGTCGGCGTCCACGTCGGCAGCGGCTCGAACCCGGTGGCTCGATCGGAACCACCCGCCGGTTCGGTTGCGTAGGTCCCGGTTCCCTCCCCGTCTCCCGGTCCCGATGACCGCTTCCGTTTGCCGGGCCGGTGTTGTGGTGGTGGCAGTTGTTGCTCCTGATCGTTCTGTTGCTGCTGGTGCTTCCGCCGCCGCTCCCGCTCCCTTCGCTCGTAGTTCCGCCGGTGGACCTTCTGGGCCAGCTTGCCGGGCCTCCAGGGAGTGTGAACCTCCCTCAGGTGGGTCGCAATCCCCCGTCCCAGCGCGTATTGTTTCTTGGAAACCTCCGCGCACAGCGGACAGCGCGTCCATCCCGCCAGCGACCCTCGGCCGGGGGTGGTGCCGCTGCTCCTGCCGGTGGCGGCGATCCTGGACCACGGGTCCGCTCCGGAGAGGGTGGTCGAGACGGTGTTGCCAGTTCCGGTCGTGCTAGCATTGCTCGCCGCCGCGGGAAGTTCCCCCGGCGGGGCGGCGGCTGCCTCGGGGGATTCCCGTTTCGTCGCTCCCATCCCTTCCGCGGCCTATCTCCTATGGGACGAAAACGGGTGCAGGGTGGTTCCCACGGGCCCCCGGGTAATTCCGTTCGAAGCCTCTGCGTTGGACTGGTCTTTGGTTGTCTTCTCGGCCGGTGGCTGGAGAGCCGGCGATGGCGATGATCCCATTTGCGTCAAGTACGTACAGGTATGTTACACTTGTGGAGCTCGCAAAGCGCATGTACCAAAAATGTAACTAGAAATGTACATGCGGTGGTCGGTATTGGGTGATTCCCGTAAACATAGATTATGTCTTTTGCGGTTCGCTTCAAGTGGAAGTCAAATTGTCGTCATCCAGTGGCATAAAATGTATTTTGTGGAAGAAACTGACATGTTTAAAAGAAACAGCGACTATTGGCTCTGTATTTTCTGGAAGAAACAGTTTATAGTCCTTAAAAACAGCCATTCATTTTGTACTATGGTCTATGTTAAAAAAAACTTCATACTGGATTTTTAGGTTTTCTACCCCCTCAGACTCCCCTTCCCATCAACAATTTCAGTCGAGAAAAAACTATTCTAGTATTTTATTTTCTTCTCAACTTCCATGATTTAAGTAAAATTGTATTAGACTTCAGACGTGCACACATAGAAGTATGTGTTTTTGACACAGATACATAGATTTTTGGTTCAGGCAGGCTCTCACTAACAAAAAGTATGCACATGCATAGATTTTTTTGGAATCCTTGATTCAAAAATTCTTTAGTCATGGTTCTCAATTCTAATTGTTTTTGATGCGCTTGCTGGCACCATGATGTGTTCTCAATATTTGGTGAGAACAATGCAGCACCCAGTTATTAAGCAAAATTCCATATTCCAAAATTAAGCACATGTAGTGTGTCATTATTCAATATCTAGTATGATTCTATGTTTTTACATACTCATTCCCGTTGAGTCATAGATGCAAAGTATGTCGTCATAGATTCTATGTTTACGGGAATGACCCATTATAAGGGAATTTTGTTCTGTTGTACCGTACTATACTTTTGAGAGCTTCAGCTTGAGAATGCACAGTACAAAATTCCGACCTCCACAGGTACATTTCTGGTGGTTACATTTTTGGTACACCAGTAACATCACCGAGGCCAAGAGCTTTGCTCAAGACCAAAGTGAGATTACTGCAAGTACAATCTTCAGCAACACCACCACCAAGAAGCAACAAGCTTGAGAGCTGTTGCACTACTCTTCCACGCTTCTTATTTACTAGCACAACACACTGGTTTGAAAACACCACTAGTAGGTTTGAGGAGTTAAGTGCTGGTTAGTAGTAAGGATTTGATTTGGTTCTTGGCTGGCCATCAAAAAATACCAGCTCTCCCTCAACCGTACCACCACCATCTGCGGTTTTTCTCGTGCTCATCCTCCAGATACTAACCTACTCTTGAGGGTGCTGAACCATAAGTTGATATTGTTATCATKAGTCATCCCGTCACAAAAAGTGTTTGCGAGCAGTAGCGACCGCTCGCAACCTTTTTTTTAAAAATACGCACCCTTTTTTTTTCACGCGCCCTCTGAACCTCACGCATAGCATGGTTTTGGTCGCGTTGAAACATAAACGTAGTTGCGAGGGTTGCGTTTGGTTGTTATGGAAAACCAGTTTTATTTCTGTTCCGAGGTAGAAGCAAAACGTGAGTCCCA